ATCCCCAGACCATTATTCCTCCTCCACCAAACTTTACAGCTGGCACTATGCATTGGGGCAGGTATGGTTCTCCTGGCATCCACCAAACCCAGATTCGTCCGTCGGACTGCCAGATGGTGAAGCGTGATTCATCACTCCAGAGAACCCGCTTCCACTGCTTCAGATTCCAATGGGAGTGAGCTTTACACCCCTCCAGCCGCATTGCGATATATCTTAGGCTTGTGTGCGGCTGTTCGGCCATGGAAACCCATTTAATGAAGCTCCCGAATAAAACAATTATTGTGCCGACCTTGCATCCAGAGGCAGATTGGAACTTGGTGGTGAGTGTTGCAACTGAGGACAGACGATTTTTACACGCTACGCGCTTCAGCACTCAGTGGTCCCGTTCTGTGAGCTTGTGTGGCCTACCACTTCGCCGCTATTGCGCCTAGATGTTTCCACTTCACAATAACAGCACTTACGGTTGACCAGGGCAGCTTTAGCAGGGCAGACATTTGACTAACTGACTTGTTGGAAAGGTGGCATCCTATGACGGTGCCACGTTGAAAGTCACTGTGCTCCTTAGTGAGGCCATTCTACTGCCAATGTTCGTCTATGGAGATTGCATGACTGTGTGCTTGATTTTATACACCTGTCAGCAAGAGGTGTGGTTTAAATAACCGAATCCACTAATTTGAAAGGGTGTCCACATACTTTTGTATATATATATATATATATATATGTGTGTACTCTTTACGGCTGTGCAGTCTAAAGAAATATACAGTGCCTTCGGAAAGTATTCAGACCCCTTGACTACTTCCACATTTTGGTAGGTTGCAGCCTTATTCTAAAATTGATTAAATTGTTTTTCCCCCCCCTACATCTACATGTACAATCTACATACAATACCCCATAATGACAAAGCAAGAACAGGATTTTATAAAATCTTGCTAATTTATTAAAAATAAAAAACAGAAAAATACATTTACATAAATATTAAGACCCTTTACTCAGTACTTTGTTGAAGCACCTTTGGCAACGATTACAGCCTCGAGTCTTCTTGGGTATGACACTACAAGCTTGGCACACCTGTATTTGGGGAGGTTCTCCCATTCTTCTCTGCAGATCCTCTCAAGCCCTGTCAGGTTGGATGGGGAGCGTTGCTGCACAGCTATTTTCAGGTCTCTCCAGAGATGTTCGATCGGGTTCAAGTCCGGGCTCTGGCTGGGCCACTCAAGGACATTCAGAGACTTGTCCCGAAGCCACTCCTGGGTTGTCTTGGCTGTGTGCTTAGGATCGTTGTCCTGTTGGAATGTGAACCTCCGCCCCAGGCTGAGGTCCTGAGCGCTCTGGAGCAGGTTTTCATCAAGGATCTCTCTGTACTTTGCTCCGTTCATCTTTGCCTCAATCCTGACTAGTCTCCCAGTCCCTGCCGCTGAAAAACATCTCCACAGCATGATGCTGCCACCGCCATGCTTCACCGTAGGGATGGTACCAGGTTTTCTCCAGAAGTGACGCTTGGCATTCAGGCCAAAGAGTTCAATCTTGGTATTATCAGACCAGAGAATCTTGTTTCTCATGGTCTGAGTCTTTAGGTGCCTTTTGGCAAACTCCAAGCGGGCCGTCAGGTGCCATTTACTGAGGAGTGGCTTCCGTCTGGCCACTCTACCATAAAGGCCTGATTGGTGGAGTGCTGCAGAGATGGTTGTCCTTCTGGAAGGTTCTCCCATCTCCACAGAGGAACTCTAGAGCTCTATCAGAGTGACCATCGGGTTCTTGGTCACTTCCCTGACCAAGGCCCTTCTCCCCCGATTGCTCAGTTTGGCCGGGCGGCCAGCTCTTGGAAGAGTCTTCGTGGTTCCAAACTTCTTCCATTTAAGAATGATGGAGGCCACTGTGTTCTTGGGGACCTTCAATGCTGCAGAAACGTTTTGGTACCCTTCCCCAGATCTGTGCCTCGACACAATCCTGTCTCTGAGCTCTACGGACAATTCCTTCAACCTCATGGCTTGGTTTTTGCTCCGACATGCATCAACTGTGGGACTTTATAGACAGGTGTGTGCCTTTCCAAATCATATCCAATCAATTGAATTTACCACAGGTGGACTCCAATCAAGTTGTAGAAACATCTCAAGGATGATCAATGTAAACAGGATGCACCAGAGCTCAATTTCGAGTCTCATAGCAAAGGTTCTGAAAAATTACATACGTTTCTGTTTTGTATTGTTAATACATTTGCGAGAGAAAAAATGTAAACCTGTTTTTGCTTTGTCATTAAGGGGTATTGTGTTTTGATTGCTGAGGATATTTAATCCATTTTAGAATAAGGCTGTAACGTACCAAAATGTTGAAAAAGTCAAGGGGTCTGAATACTTTCCGAAGGCACTGTACGCAGACAGACATCGGAGACTAATTTCCTGTCACTAAAATCATTATATTCTTGCTACAACAACAATTTACCTATTGCATGCTTTCACTGTCAGATATGTGAAAGGGGACCATGATTAATTTGCGATGTTGACTCAAATATCTGTGCAGATCAAATCATGACTCAATAGCTTTGTTGGAGCCTTCCAATAGAGAACAACATATTAGACATATTAAAAGGTCATTTTATTTCATTAGGTACAAATAAGTCTCGGATACTGGTTATGCTTTAAAAAGTACATCTCAAAATGTACTACTGTTGTCAATTTAGCTTTTTGCCATATAATGACATGCTATCTCACTTAGCTGAAAAATTTATTTGCATAAAATATGATTTCAAACGGTTCTGAATGAAGACACTTTGTTTAAAAGACCCACTAAAATGTTTCATATGGTTGATATAAATTAGGTGTCGTTGAAAATAAAAATAGATTTCTAAACTTAACAGCATTCCCAAAAAAATCCCATACATGCATGCATGAGAGCACCAGCTGTTCCGGATGACTATGTGATCACGCTCTCCGTAGCCGATGTGAGTAAGACTTTTAAGCAGGTCAACATTCACAAGGCCGCAGGGCCAGACGGATTACCAGGACGTGTACTCCGAGCATGTGCTAACCAACTGGCAAGTGTCTTCACTGACATTTTCAACATGTCCCTGACTGAGTCTGTAATACCAACATGTTTCAAGCAGACCACCATAGTCCCCGTGCCCAAGGACTCTAAGATAACCTGCCTAAATGACTACCGACCCGTAGCACTGACGTCTGTAGCCATGAAGTGCTTTGAAAGGCTGGTCATGGCTCACATCAACAGCATTATCCCAGAAACCCTAGACCCACTCCAATTTGCATACCGCCCCAACAGATCCACAGATGATGCAATCTCTATTGCACTCCACACTGCCCTTTCCCACCTGGACAAGAGGAACACCTACGTGAGAATGCTATTCATTGACTACAGCTCAGCATTCAACACCATAGTGCCCTCTAAGCTCATCACTAAGATAAGGATCCTGGGACTAAACACCTCCCTCTGCAACTGGATCCTGGACTTCCTGACGGGCCGCCCCCAGGTGGTAAGGGTAGGTAACAACACATCTGCCACACTGATCCTCAACACGGGGGCCCCTCAGGAGTGCGTGCTCAGTCCCCTCCTGTACTCTCTGTTCACCCATGACTGCATGGCCAGGCACGACTCCAACACCATCATTAAGTTTGCCGACGACACAACAGTGGTAGGCCTGATCACCGACAACGATGAGACAGCCTATAGGGAGGAGGTCAGAGACCTGGCCGTGTGGTGCCAGGACAACAACCTCTCCCTCAACGTGACCAAGACAAAGGAGATGATTGTGGACTACAGGAAAAAAAAGAGGACTGAGCACGCCCCCATTCTCATCGACGGGGCTGTAGTGGAACAGGTTGAGAGCTTCAAGTTCCTTGGTGTCCACATCACCAACGAACTATCATGGTCCAAACACACCAAGACAGTCGTGAAGAGGGCACGACAAAGCCTATTCCCCCTCAGGAGACTGAAAAGATTTGGCATGGGTCCTCAGATCCTCAAAAAATTCTACAGCTGCACCATCGAGAGCATCCTGACTGGTTGCATCACCGCCTGGTATGGCAACTGCTTGGCCTCCGACCGCAAGGCACTACAGAGGGTAGTGCGTACGGCCCAGTACATCACTGGGGCCAAGCTTCCTGCAATCCAGGACCTCTATACCAGGCGGTGTAAGAGGAAGGCCCTCAAAATTGTCAAAGACTCCAGCCACCCTAGTCATAGACTGTTCTCTCTGCTACCGCACGGCAAGCGGTACCGGAGTGCCAAGTCTAGGTCCAAAAGACTTCTCAACAGCTTCTACCCCCAAGCCATAAGACTCCTGAACAGCTAATCATGGCTACCTGGACTATTTGCACTGCCCCCCCACCCCATCCTTTTTACGCTGCTGCTACTCTGTTAATTATTTATGCATAGTCACTTTAACTCTACCCACATGTACATATTACCTCAACTACCTCAACTAGCCGGTGCCCCCGCACATTGACTCTGCAACGGTACCCCCCTGTATATATAGCCTCCCTACTGTCACTTTATTTTACTTCTGCTCTTTTTTTTCTCAACACTTTTTTTGTTGTTGTTTTATTTTTACTTTTTTTTGTTAAAAATAAATGCACTGTTGGTTAAGGGCTGTAAGTAAGCATTTCACTGTAATGTCTGCACCTGTTGTATTCGGCGCATGTGACCAATACAATTTGATTTGATTTGACCAGGAAAGAGGGGGGTGGCAGTAAGTGTAGCAGGGTTCAACGGGAACTCTTCAGGTGTTGGTGCGAGAATTCTGTCTTCTAAATTCTGTGCTCTAACCTTTCAATTATGTCATGTTTGAATAATTGTAACACTTTTACCAAATATGATTCTAGGCCAAAATATTGAGTTGCTAACTCATGTAACATTCATGTACAATAGAAGTACCAAGTCTGCTCATCAGGGTTTGGATTATTATTATTTTTTTAAAGTGTGACTGGCACCCCACCATTACTTTACAACAAATATCATCCAGTTATAATTAAGTTAATCAAAACAAAACATATTTCTTTTGACATTTTTTATTTAAAAAGTTTATAAACACTTCACCTATAGATTGCAACATTTCTGAAGTCAGGTACATCACCTAACGATAAGGTATAAAAACCAAAGGCTACAAAAGGTTTTTGATCCATCATATTCCAAAAATGTGTTTCCCCAATCTCATACTCCAGTTAAGTATCAATGGAAAATAAACTCCATATGCATGTAATGTTGTGACCCTTATTCAGTCTACAGATTCAACTGAAAATTGTATTTTCAACAGATTTGAGAGCATTCCAACAGGCTCAACTCCAAATCTATCAGATGTAGTCAATGGGCCACATACTAGAAAAGGGCATGAGGGTCAAAAAGAGCTAACAGTTGGGGAAGATTTAGATTCCATTTCTAAGTTTCTGTTATTTGGTGTGTGTATGTATGTATGTGTCAGTGTGTCTGAAGACGGGTAGGCATCTACTCTGGCGCCTTGTTGCTCTCCTTGGTTGGCTGTCCAGTAGCGGTTTCCACAGTCTTGGAGGCCTAGGAGGGAGGAAGGAAGGCACCGATTAAGAATGGAGAGCGAACAGAATATATTGACTTAATTTGTTTTTCACCATTGTCATATCAAATACCTTCTTTTTCTTCTTCTTTTGTGTTTTGCGACTGGCTGAGCTCTGTAGTAGAGTCTGGGGGAGAAAGAGGGATTGTTTGCTGTCAATCAAGATATTTCTTCCAAGGAAGAGAGCCACAACAGAGCTGCTAAGTGTGGAAATAGACTGGTCAAAACCTCAGATGCCATCTCATACCCTTATTCAGTTACTTAAAGTTTAGGCTCCGAGCTGCAAGCCCCTGTTCATTAATATAGTTATTCATGGAATATGAGCAGTGAAGAGCCTTTCAGGTTACACGGGGCCGTGGGCTGGTAGCCCTACTTACCCTCAGCTCTGCGTCCTGCACCTCGTGCTCTGACTTGTAGAGTTCTGTCTCAAAGGGTCCGCTGGTGATTTTATGGGGGCCGTTGGCCATCAGCAGCACTGTGAACTTAAACTGGGCAACAAACTCTCCTGAGAAGCAAAGGGAGAGATAATGAGACAGGTAGTTAGAAAAAGAGAAAGAAACAGCGCACAGAGGATAGGAAAAGACAGATGCAGAGAGACTCACCCTCCTTCTCATTGAGCACACTGAAAGGCTGTAGCAGCTCGTGTTTGGCACACTCCACCACGCCCAGGCGGGCTTTGGCCTCATCCTCAAACGCCCTGAAGAGAGGAGAGGAACAAGACACACCTGTTAGCTGAGGAGGTCTCCAATTTACATTCAAAGCACCTGACTCACAGCATCAGAGAGATGGTTGATGAAAAGAAAAGTCCACGTCTTTAATGATAAGATTATCGTGTTGATATGCAGTTGGTTATATGAAGTCTCTCTGACACTTCTAATGTGAGGACAGCTTCCATTTGGTATCCTACCTGAGTGTGAAGGGCATGGCGTCGAAGCGTCGCTCCACCTCGCTGAAGAACATGCGGGAGGTCTTCATCTTCAGCCCGTACTGCTTACTGGGGTCCCTCTTGTAAATGGTGGTCCTCTGGCCTCCATCCCTGGCCTGGGCAGGGGACAGGAGCATAGAAACATCAGTATTGGACAGTCGAATTTAGCCAGATAAGAAATTAAAAGGAAAAAAAAGAATAGTATGGGGCTTCTTAGGATAGTTCAGACTCAGAGTAATATTGCCCTTTTCCATCCATGTTACCGCATGGGGGCATTGGGATTTACCCCCGTCTCTCTCTCTCACCTTCCCTTCACCAGTGCTGATCAGCACATCAACAGCGTAGACCTCGTGCACCTCAAACTCTACCTTCTCGTGGTCCTTCCTGCAGATGGGCATCAACAGTAGCCAATCAGAGCAACTCACATCTTTAATTTATCATTCAGTCTTAGTGACTAGGGCTGTGACGGTCATGGAATTTTGGATCAGCCAAATGACCATGGTCACTGTTCTAATATCAAAAATATTATTATTATTATTATTATTATTATTATATTCTCCTCTTCTCTGCTCATGACTGCATGTGCTCCTAGGCGTTGCCTTGGACTCAAATGAGAAACTGTGTTTACTGTTTAGCCAAGCTGACTGACAGCTAGCAGAGGGGATAGCTAGCTAGCTGGAGTTAGCTAGCCTAACTTGCTGACATTTCTCTGTCAAGTCACAGAGTGTGCCCTGTTTTTGGTATTCCATTGGGTGCATGTATTTCATGATTGCTTCAATACTGTACCTTGCTGAAACAAGGAGCAACAATGTTTCATCATGGTGTAAAGAGTCCATGTTAATACGGAAACTGACTCAACTGCCCTTATTGTCTTTTTGAATGCCCGGCCATTCCGTCTTCAGTTTTACAACACAAAATTCACTAGCTAGTTTTGTCTCCACTCGTCTCTTCTTATAACGGCTGTTAGATGTGAACCAGACCTACTTTTATACTGAACAAAAATATAAACAACATGCTGTCTGCCCTCGTGGTATTGTACTTCATCAAAGCACTATTTTCTACATGTGTTCTAGTGCTTGGACGTTAATGTACCTTTGCTGGTCTGTGGGGTTCTGAATGATGGTCTTCTCTCCATCGATGACGTGTTGCTTCAGCTGATGAGATAACATACCTTAAACAGAAAGATACAAAACCATTGCAACAGATTTCATATAATGGATATACACAAAATAGTCCAAATTGGTGAAGTGAAATGAAAACAATCACTTGTTTCAAAAAATTCTAAAAAATAAATAACGGAAAAGTGGTGCATGCATATGTATTCACCCCCGTTGCTATGAAGCCCCTAAATAAGATCTGGTGCAACCAATTACCTTCAGAAGTCACATAATTAGTCAAATAAAGTCCACCTGTGTGCAATCTAAGTGTCACATGATCTGTCACATGATCTCAGTATATATAGACACCTATTCTGAAAGGCCCCAGAATCTGCAACACCACTAAGCAAGGGACACCACCTAGCAAACAGCACCATGAAGACCAAGGAGCTCTCCAAACAGGTTAGGGACAAAGTTGTGGAGAAGTACAGATCAGAGTTGGGTAATAAAAATTAAAATAAAGAAACTTTGAACATCCCATTAAATCCATTATTTAAAAAATTGAAAGAATATGGCACCACAACAAACCTGCCAAGAGAGGGCCGCCCACCAAAACTCATGGACCAGGCAAGGAGGGCATTAATCAGAGAGGCAACAAAGAGACCAAAGATAACCCTGAAGGAGCTGTAAAGCTCCACAGCTGAGATTGGAGTATCTGTCCATAGGACCACTTTAAGCCGTACCCTCCACAGAGCTGGGCTTTATGGAAGAGTGGCCAGAAAAAAGCCATTGCTTAAAGAATCAAATAAGCAAACACGTTTGGTGTTCGCCAAAAGACATGTGGGAGACTCCCCAAACATATGGAAGAAGGTCAGATGAGACTAAAATTGAGCTTTTTGGCCATCAAGGAAAATGCTATGTCTGGCGCAAACCCAACACCTCTCATCACCCGAGAACACCATCCCCACAGTGAAGCATGGTGGTGGCAGCATCATGCTGTGGGGATGTTTTTCCCATCGGCAGGGCCTGGAAAACTGGTCAGAATTGAAGGAATGATGGATGGCGCTAAATACAGGGAAATTCTTGAGGGAAACCCGTTTCAGACTTCCAGAGATTTGAGACTGGGACGGAGGTTCACCTTACAGCAGGACAATGACCCTAAGCATACTGCTAAAGCAACACTCAAGTGGTTTAACATTTAAATGTATTGGAATGGCCTAGTCAAAGCCCAGACCTCAATCCAATTGAGAATCTGTGGTATGACTAAAGATTGCTGTACACCAGCGGAACCCATCCAACTTGAAGGAGCTGGAGCAGTTTTGCCTTGAAGAATGGGCAAAATTCCCAGTGGCTAGATGTGCCAAGCTTATAGAGACATACCCCAAGAGACTTGCAGCTGTACAAAGTATTTTATTTTATTTATTTAACCTTTATTTAACTAGGCAAGTCAGTTAAGAACAAATTCTTATTTACAATGACGGCCTACACTGGCCAAACCCGGACGACGCTGGGCCAATTGTGCGCCGCCCTATGGGACTCCCAATCACGGCTGGATTGTGATACAGCCTGGAATCGAACCAGGGGGTCTGTAGTGACGCCTCAAGCACTGAGATGCAGTGCCTTTAACCGCTGCGCCACTCGGGAGTATTGGGGGGTGAATAGTTATGCACGCTCAAGTTCAGTTTTTTGTCTTATTTGTTGTTTGTTTCACAAAATTTTTTATTTTGCATCTTCAAAGTGGTAGGCATGTTGTGTAAATCAAATGATACAAACCCCCCAAAAATCCATTTTAATTCCAGGTTGTAAGACAACAAAATAGGAAAAATGCCAAGGGGGTGAATACTTTCGCAAGCCACTGTAGGTGGCTCGTTTCAGCTAGTTTTATCTTGTTCTTGATACCATGTCTTGTTTTGAGGTGTTTTGACTGATTTCATGTCAATGCTAATATGGCTAAAATTCACCAGCTTGCTAACCAACAACTGTAACGATGTAGTTGAGAGACAAGTGCTCATTGCGCAAATGCATTTATGTTTTCAATAAACATTTGGAGACTAACTATAGTTTACATGTTGTCAACAATCTAAGCCAACCCAGTCTGTTTTGCCCCATAGTTGCGCACGCGTCGGTTTTGTTGCTAAACAACCAACCCGTCCATATGAAAAGGGTCCGCTAAAACTGTTGATTCACTATCTTAGACCCATGAATCAGAGTCAACTCTAAGGGCAAAAGGGACTTTCTGCACTCACCCTCGATGGCTGTGCATTTGAATGACTGAGCGATCTTGTTCCAAGCCTCTGTCACCTTTGAGTTCTGGTTGCCAGGCTTGACAAGGCGTAGGGCTGCCTCCGCACACAGGTGAGCTGCCTTTATCACATCAGCTTTCTTCCCTGTCACTGGAGCCTCCTACATGTACAAGGCAGAGGTAAGATCAGGGCTCTACGCTGACCTTTTCTTACAAGGAGCACATTTGCGCCTAAGTTGAAAAATGTAGATGCACACAAATAAATGTATGAGCAAAATTGAAAATATTTGAGATATTAAAGCTAAAATCCTTCATTTTTACACACTGGTGGTCACACAGCAAAAATATTCAGGCACATATGCCAGAGCCCTGAAGGAGAATTAATGTGAGTGTTTTAAAGAGATTTTCTGGAAGTTTTGTTTAATTTCAGCCAGTAGTTTTGAAAGTAGCGCTCACAAGCCAAAATGGAAACTCCCAACAATTGTGCACAATGTCCTCATGTCATTGTTCTGTAACGTGTGCCCAAAGAGAGTAAAAAAATAACTCTGTGGTGTTCATGTGGTGTGCATGTTGGACTCACCCCAAAACTGGGGCTGTGATGATACCAGTATTGTGATATTTTTTTCCATGGCAAAAATTAAAACACGAAGCAGACCAAACTATTTGGTCCTTTAAAAACCTGCTGTATGTAAAATATTGTGTGCTATAGCTTGGAAAATAAATAAATGTGACTCTGGATGACAACTTAATGTTTGTTTCCAACATTAGGGCTGTTTTCCAAAAGAAGTTCAATCTGCTTTGTGTTTTGTTTCCTTGCCACGATACTAATGAGTATCGAGATACGGGTATCGTCCCGGGCCCTACCCGCAACATCATTGGACAATACTGGGCCTATCCTGATCCCGCCTCCCACTTTAACCTTGCAACCTCATCGGACATAATTTCACCTGCCTATCAACATTGTCCATCACGTTTGGTTGTTGCAGGTCAGTTCCCGACTTCCTGTAGTTGCATGCAAGGTCTCAAAGTAATGTGATAATGTAATTTTATACAATGGAAAGTTAAGCCCTCCTGTAGCTCAGTTGGTAGAGCATGGCGCTTGCAACGCCAGGGTTGTGGGTTCGTTTCCCACGGGGGGCCAGTATGAAAAATGTATGCACTCAATACCTATAAGTCGCTCTGGATAAGAGCGTCTGCTAAAATGACTCAAAAAAAAAAAATAATACCAGCAGTTATATGTTTGCATCAACTCCTTACCTCCCGAGTGGCGCAGTGGTCTAAGGCACGGCATCACAGTGCTAGCTGTGCCACTAGAGATCCTGGTTCGAATCCAGGCTCTGTCGTAGCCGGCCGCGACCGGGAGACCCATGGGGCGGCGCACAATTGGCCCAGCGTCGTCCAGGGTAGGGGAGGGAATGGCCGGCAGGGATGTAGCTCAGTTGGTAGAGCATGGCGTTTGCAACGCCAGGGTTGTGGGTTCGCTTCCCACGGGGGGACAGTATGAAAATTTAAAAAATAATGTCTGCACTCACTAACTGTAAGTCGCTCTGGATATGAGCGTCTGCTAAATGACTAAAATGTAAATGTTAAAAGTTGTGTATTTATTATAAATAGCATTTGCCTATGTGATGAATGATGATCGCTGGCAATCAACTGCTGTGTTGGATTATTACCCCATATCATTGAATAATACCTTTGTGAACATTTATAAGGACAAAAGGTGGACACATGGAATTATTTGAATTGGATGGATGGTTGACAACAGAAAGGTAGGCCAATAATTTATTGTATAAAAAGTGGGTGAACGTTTACTTCAGCATGCACTTCTCGAGCGCATCAACATGTGCGTTGTGTCGTGATTGGCGAACAGGACATATGGATGGACGCGCACCTGGTTAAAACCTTATAGCCTATTTTGCAATATATTCCAAAATTCACCAGCGACACCATTTAGAAACTAAAGGTTGTCAGCACAGTGTTTCTGATCGGGTGGACAATTATCTTCTAATGTATTTGTGTGGCTACACTGGCATATTTAGCACACAACATTCTCTGGTTTGCAGAGAAATGCTTTGAAAGAGAAATTAAACTACTACCTAGGTCTAATAGATCTCACTTCTAATTCAGGATGCTTTCAAACTTCTGATGCATGGCAGTTATCATGCATTCGATTAATTCAATGTATTTTCGCTGTTATCAAAATCACTAATGGTAAGCGCATGCAGCCACTCATCCCACTTGCTTCAGAGCGCACGTTCACTACATGACAGGAATGAGCAAGCAAATCTCATGCACTAAATTATGGCAGGTTAGAATGTAAGGATTCTGTGCCATTTTCCGCTGGGAGAGAACCGTAGATCGTTTATTATGTATGTATGAGCCATACATTTACATGTCTAGTCCAAAACGGCAGGTTAAAAAAATAATGAGGTCATTTTCAATCCTCCAGAATATCTCTTTAAGCCTATTGCAATGAGGGCTTAAGAATTCCAAGTCATTAGGTCATAATGGTACATACCTTGGTAGCTCCCACAACAAAGCTATGAGCCACATTCGAGATGAAGCCGTCAACATGGACTCCAAGATCACTGCAGAAATAAAGGGGGCAGAGATGGAGAGGATAAGAGAAAAGGAGAGATGGAAATGTATAAGTCATGAAGGAAATAGAAGTTCATGAGACATTCAGAAATCGTTATGCCAACCATGTAGTGGTGTAGCGATGTTATATGATGTACTGTTTTATCTTATGTTTTATGTGTAATGTAAGTGTCTTGATGTATTTGGACCCCAGGAAGAGTAGCTGCTGCCTTGGCAGCAGCTAATGGGGATCCCTAATAAAATACAAATACAAAACCAGTTGCTGATATCTATGTCATTGTGTAAAAGGACATATAGAGGAGATGATTAAATACATTTAGGCAAGGGCAAAATGGCAGTCATGTTGTGCTTCCAAAGATCAAATGGGAAAAAGTTTACTGACAAAAAAAACAAGGTCAGACACAAATTAAACAATCTAATTTGTTTGATTATATTACGGTAAGTGTCAAGTGAGGATATGCTCCGAAGGTAAGTTTGTTATTGGCTTGTTCACCTACAACTATACTGCAGGGGGGCTCATAATGTATTCCAAAGACAGCACCACTAGCAATTTCATTGTCATGGTGGAAGGACATACCCACGCTTTTGTTATAGTAATGAAAAATATGACTTTTCAACAGATTCTGAGAATGGCACAGCCCTACAGTAATACAGCACAAGTTGGCATAACCATCTACACTGGACAAAAACATAAACGCAACAATTTCAAAGATTTGACTGAGTTACAGTTCATATAACGAAATCAGTCAATTGAAATAAATAAATTAGGCCCTAATCTATGGATTTCACATGACAGGAAATACAGATATACATTTGTTGGTCACAGATTTCTTTTTTTTTAAAGGTAGGGGCGTGGATCAGAAAACCAGTCAGTATCTGGTGTGAACACCATTTGCCACATGCAGCGCGACACATCTACTTCGCATAGAGTTGATCAGGCTGCTGATTGTGGCCTGTAGAATGTTGTCCCACTCCTCTTCAATGGCTGTGCGAAGTTGCTGAATATTGGCAGGAACTGGAACACGCTGTCGTACACATCAATCCAGAGCATCCCAAACGTGCTCAATAGGTGACATGTCAGGAGACATTATCTCCTGAGTGGCGCAGTGGTCTAAGGCATTGCATCGCAGTGCTAACTGTGCCACTAGAGATCCTGGTTTGAATCCAGGCTCTGTCGCAGCCGGCCTCGACCGGGAGACTCATGGGCGGCGCACAATTGGCCCAGCGTCGTCCAGGGTAGGGGAGGGAATGGCCGGCAGGGATGTAGCTCAGTTGATAGAGCATGGCGTTTGCAACGCCAGGGTTGTGGGTTCGATCCCACGGGGGGCCAGTATAAAAAAAATATGTATTCACTAACTGTAAGTCGCTCTGGATAAGAGCGTCTGCTAAATGACTAAAATGTAAATGTATGGTGAGTAGGCAGCCCATGGAAGAACTGGGACATTTTCAGCTTCCAGGAATTGTGTATAGATCCTTGAGACATGGGGCTGTGCATTATTATGCTGAAACATTAGGTGATTGCGTCGGATGAATGGTAGAGAAATTAACATTACATTCTCTGGCAACAGCTCTGGTGGACATTCCTGCAGTCAGCATTCCCTCAAAACTTGAGACATCTGTGAAGTTGTGTGACAAAACTGCACATTTTGAGGGGATGGCTGCCGTTTTATGGACTCTTAACCAACACATTGTTTGTAACTTATTTTGTACATAATGTTCCTGCTACCGTCTCTTATGGCGGCAGGTAGCCTAGTGGTTAAGAGCGTTGTGCCAGTAACCGAAAGGTTGCTGGTTCTAATCCCCGAGCCGACTAGGTGAAAAATCTGGCGGCAGGTAGCGGCAGGTAGCCTAGTGATTAAGAGCGTTGTGCCAGTAACCGAAAGGTTGCTGGTTCTAATCCCCGAGCCGACTAGGTGAAAAATCTGTCGATGTGCCCTTCAGCAAGGCACTTAACCCTAATTGCTCCTGTAAGTCGCTCTGGATAAGAGCGTCTGCTAAATGACCAATTATTATTATTATGACCGAAAAGAGCTTCTGGACATCAGAACAGCGATTACTTACCTTGAACTGGACAAATAATCTTTCTTTAATGATTCGGACGAGAGGGATTTGCTCCAGACACCCGAAAGGGCCCTCATCCCCGTCAATCGCAGGAGAAAGAGACAGATATATCGCGGAAGGAGATGGGGTGTTAAATGTGCAACCAGAGAAAAAAAATAAAAATACTCTAGACCACCTTTACTCCACACACAGAGACGCGTACAAAGCTCTCCCTCGCCCTCCATTTGGCAAATCTGACCATAATTCTATCCTCCCGATTCCTGTTTACAAGCAAAAACTAAAGCAGGAAGCACCAGTGACTCGGTCAATACAAAAGTGGTCAGATGAAGCAGATGCTAAGCTACAGGACTGTTTTGCTAGCACAGACTAGAATATGTTCTGGGATTCTTCTGATGGCTTTGAGGAGTACACCACATCAGTCACTGGCTTCATCAATACAGTGAGGGAAAAAAGTATTTGATCCCCTGCTGATTTTGTACGTTTGCCCAATGACAAAGAAATGATCAGTCTATAATTTTAATGGTAGGTTTATTTGAACAGTGAGAGACAGAATAACAACAAAGACATCCAGGAAAACGCATGTCAAAAATGTTATAAATTGATTTGCATTTTAATGAGGGAAATAAGTATTTGACCCCCTCTCAATCAGAAAGATTTCTGGCTCCCAGGTGTCTTTTATACAGGTAACGAGCTGAGATTAGGAGCACACTCTTAAAGGGAGTGCTCCTAATCTCAGCTTGTTACCTGTATAAAAGACACCTGTCCACAGAAGCAATCAATCAATCAGATTCCAAACTCTCCACCATGGCCAAGACCAAAGAGCTCTCCAAGGATGTCAGGGACAAGATTGTAGACCTACTGGAATGGGCTACAAGACCATCGCCAAGCAGCTTGGTGAGAAGGTGCCAACAGTTGGTGCGATTATTCGCAAATGGAAGAAACACAAAATAACTGTCAATCTCCCTCGGCCTGTGGCTCCATGCAAGATCTCACCTCGGGGAGTTGCAATGATCATGAGAACGGTGAGGAATCAGCCCAGAACTACACGGGAGGATCTTGTCAATGATCTCAAGGCAGCTGGGACCATAGTCACCAAGAAAACAATTGGTAACACACTACGCCGTGAAGGACTGAAATCCTGCAGTGCCTGCAAGGTCCCCCTGCTCAAGAAAGCACATATACAGGGCCGTCTGAAGTTTGCCAATGAACATCTGAATGATTCGGAGGAGAACTGGGTGAAAGTGTTGTGGTCAGATGAGACCAAAATGGAGCTCTTTGGCATCAACTCAACTCGCCGTGTTTGGAGGAGGAGGAATGCTGCCTATGACCCCAAGAACACCATCCCCACCATCAAACATGGAGGTGGAAACATTATGCTTTGGGGGTGTTTTTCTGCTAAGGGGACAGGACAACTTCACCGCATCAAAGGGACGATGGACGGGGCCATGTACCGTCAAATCTTGGGTGAGAACCTCCTTCCCTCAGCCAGGGCATTGAAAATGGGTCGTGGATGGTTATTCCAGCATGACAATGACCCAAAACACACGGCCAAGGCAACAAAGGAGTGGCTCAAGAAGAAGCACATTAAGTCCTGGAGTGGCCTAGCCAGTCTCCAGACCTTAATCCCATAGAAAATCTGTGGAGGGAGCTGAAGGTTCGAGTTGCCAAACGTCAGCCTCGAAACCTTAATGACTTGGAGAAGATCTGCAAATAGGAGTGGAACAAAATCCCACCTGAGATGTGTGCAAACCTGGTGGCCAACTACAAGAAACGTCTGACCTCTGTGATTGCCAACAAGGGTTTTGCCACCAAGTACTAAGTCATGTTTTGCAGAGGGGTCAAATACTTATTTCCCTCATTAAAATGCAAATGAATTTATAACATTTTTTACATGCGCTTTTCTGGATTTTGTTGTTGTTATTCTGTCCCTCACTGTTCAAAGAAACCTACCATTAAAATTATAGACTGATCATGTCTTTGTCAGTGGGCAAACATACAAAATCAGCAGGGGATCAAATACTTTTTTCCCTCACTGTAAGTGCATCGATGACGTCGTCCCCACAGTGACCGTACGTACATACCCCAACCAGAAGCCATGGATTACAGGCAACATCTGCACTGAGCTAAAGGGTAGAGCTGACGCTTTCAAGGAGCAGGACTTTAACCCGGAAGCTTATAAGAAATCCCGCTATGCCCTCCGACGAACCATCAAACAAGCAAAGCGCCAATAAAGGACTAAAATCGATTGTACTACACCGGCGCCGATGCTGTTCGGATGTGGCAGAGCTTGCAAACTATTACAGACTACAAAGGGCAGCACAGCCACGAGCTGCCCAGTGACACAAGCCTACCAGACGAGCTAAATTACTTCAACGCTCGCTTCGAGGCAAGGAACACTGAAACATGGATGAGAGCATCAGCTGTTCTGGATGACTGTGTGATCATGCTCTCCGTAGCCGATGTGAGTAAGACCTTTAAACAGGTCAAAATTCAGACGGATTACCAGGACGTGTACTCCGAGCATGCGCTGACCAACTGGCAAGTGTCTTCACTGACATTTTCAACCTCTCCCTGTCTGAGTCTGTAATACCAACATGTTTCAAGCAGACCACCATAGTCCCTGTGCCCAAGAATACTAAGGTAACCTGCCTAAATGACTACCGACCCGTAGCACTCACGTCTGTAGCCATGAAGTGCTTTGAAAGGCTGGTCATGGCTCACATCAACACCATTATCCCAGAAACCCTAGACCCACTCCAATTTGCATACCACCCCAACAGATCCACAGATGATGCTATCTCTATCGTGCTCCACACTGCCCTTTCACACCTGGACAAAATAAACACCTATGTGAGAATGCTATTCATTGACTACAGCTCAGCGTTCAACACCATAGTGCCAAGGTTCTACAGCTGCACCATCGAGAGCATCCTGACTGGTTGCATCACTGCCTGGTATGGCAACTGCTCGGCCTCCCACCGCAAGGCACTACAGAGGGTAGTGCGTACGGCCCTGTACATCACTGGGGCCAAGCTTCCTGCCATCCAGGACCTCTATACCAGGCGGTGTCAGAGGAAGGCCCTAAAAATTGTCAAAGACTCCAGCCACCCTAGTCATAGACTGTTCTCTCTGCTACCGCACGGAAAGCGGTACCGGAGCGCCAAGTCTAGGTCCAAGAGGCTTCTAAACAGCTTCTACCCCAAAGCCATAAGACTCCTGAACATCTAATCAAATGGCTACCCAGACTATTTATATTGGCCCCCTCTCCCCTCTTTCACGCTGCTGCTACTCTGTTTATTATCTATGCATAGTCACTTTAATAACTCTACCTACATGTACATATTACCTCGACTAACTGGTGCCCCCGAACATTGACTCTGTGCCGGTACCCCCGTTGAGGTAATATGTACATGTAGGTAGAGTTATTTTACTATTGTTATTTTACTGCTGCCCTTTCATTATTTGCTACTTTTATTTCTTATTTTTTTAGGGTATTCTTTCTTAAAACTGCATTGTTGGTTAAGGGCTTGTAAGTAAGCATTCCACTGTAAGGTCTACACCTGTTGTATTCGGCGCATGTGACAAATACAATTCGATTTGATTCGATTTTAGAGTGGCCTTTTATTGTCCCCAGCACAATGTGCACCTGTGTAATGATCATGCTGTTTAATCAGCTTCTTGATATGCCACACCTGTCAGGTGGATGGATTCTCTTGGCAAAGATAAATGCTCACTAACAGGGATGTAAACAAATTTGTGCACAAAATTTGAGCGAATTAAGCTTTTTGTGTGTATGGAAAAGTTCTGGGATATTTTATTTCAGCTCATGAAACATGGGACCAACACTTTACATGTTGCATACGATTTTTGTTCAGTATAGTTGACTCTTTAACACTCACAATGTTCCAGTCAGTGACATCCTTAAATATACAGAAGACAGAAAACAGGCAAGGGAGGGTCAACAGAGAGATGAAAACCAAAGTGGCAGTCCAACAACTAAGATGAAAATGCTTGTTCAACTATGCAATGGCAATAGTGACAATTAGACACCAATACCAGATGAACAAGGCTCGTTATCCAATCCTTACTTATCGTTTGCCATATAGACATACAGGCACACATAGACATACAGGGAGACGAGACCTAACAAAGACGACAAGTCAACAGCCAAGGAGACTCCATCAGACGCATGAGAACACAGAAAACAAGATGACAGACGAGAGAGGGGAAAGACAACACATACTTGGGAGACTGAAGACACATAGAGTGAAGGGGTAACATTACTGTAGATTGAGGTTCATACATTTTGACCAGGTCCCCATCTTTAAGTGTGTAGTCAGGGTCACTCTTCAGGGGAGAGAAGTGGCAAACACAGTTATTGACTGAGACGCTGGTGGGGAAGGCAATTCCTGTAAAAGGGAAGAGAGAACCACCAAATCTTCAATTCAAAATCATCTGCAGTGTTTATGAGAGACTGATGTCAAATAACGCCCCTATTTTTAACCCATATCACTCCTCATAGTTCTGTCATCTCACTGGCATATTCAATAAGTAATCCCATGTTCAGGCCCATTGTGAATGTGTGGCATGTGTTTCTGATCTGGAGACAGTATGACAGTAAACAGTTATGGGAGACAGGACAAACAGTCTTATCTGTCTCTTATAACTACATAGTAGGGGTGTGAACGTTTAAACGACATTGGGATAGCAAAAGTTTAGAAGAAAAAAAATCCCTAACCAATTTTCTTATTTTTTTTACAAAATTAAAATCACAGTGCAGTTATAAAAAAACGACTGCTAACAGGTCCCAATCATTATCATTAAGGGGAAAATAGAAATTAAACAAATACCTAATGCAACAATGCTGTAACGTTAGTAGGAGGAGATATGCATCTTTCAAATGATTTGCCACGGATATAAAGCACTCCAAGTCATCGTCGTTAATAGTTATCAAAATAGCAGAGCGAGACAGGGAAGCGACAGCAGCAAAGTCCTGTATGGCAATACTTTGAGAAGTTAAATGAGAAGGCGGTGAAATAAATGCAAACGTAGTAAGGTGGAATTGAGCTACAGTGGCAGTACAGGTGCAATGCTTAGCCATCATCTGAAAGGGAGACACCGTGACCCAACCCGTTGCTGGCAGCTGTGCGATAACGGACGGAGTGAGAAAATCACAGCACTGATTACAGAAATGATTGCAATTGATATGCAGCCATTGTCAATGGTAGAGAATGTCAGCTTCACTGCCCTGATGGAATATCTAGAACCAGTCTACAAGATGCTATGTACAAACAACGTAATGACCTGGATGGAGAAATTGTACAATGATTGCTCTGCGAGAACAAAGCGTGAGCTCTCAAACACCATACGTGGCATTAACAGCGGATTGTTGGACGTCTATGAACACGCCGTCATACATCACTGCAACGAGCCTACACATTAATGAGAAGTGGGACATGTACTGACAACTGAGCACATGGAGGATAGCCTTTCCCCCCCTTCCACCCCACCCTGGCCCCTTACCTTTTTTCAAGTCTTTCTCCTTCCTGAAGACCTTGCCAGTCTCTGCCATGATGTGGGCATCTCCCTTGTCACACAGACTGAGCACAGACACCCCTGACTTGGCCGCCTCAATCACCACACGCAGGGCCTCTAGACAGAGAGAGAGGGCAGGGGAATAGGAGGTGGAGAGGTATGAGACATTTGAGAGGTGAAAAAGATTAGAGTGTAGATGTGAGACCAAATATGTCATCATTACATTCAATCGGAACATGTGCGTTCTCTTTAAATAAGACACTATCCATTATGGTTGTATTACAGTGGGGGAAGAAAGTATTTAGTCAGCCACCAATTGTGCAAGTTCTCCCACTTAAAAAGATGAGAGAGGCCTGTAATTTTCATCATAGGTACACGTCAACTATGACAGAAATTGAGAAAACAAAATCCAGAAAATCACATTGTAGGATTTTTAATGAACTTATTTGCAAATTATGGTGGAAAATAAGTATTTGGTCACCTACAAACAAGCAAGATTTCTGGCTCTCACAGACCTGTAACTTCTTCTTTAAGAGGCTCCTCTGTCCTCCACTCGTTACCTGTATTAATGGCACCTGTTTGAACTTGTTATCAGTATAAAAGACACCTGTCCACAACCTCAAACAGTCACACTCCAAACTCCACTATGGCCAAGACCAAAGAGCTGTCAAAGGACACCAGAAACAAAATTGTAGACCTGCACCAGGCTGGGAAGACTGAATCTGCAATAGGTAAGCAGCTTTGTTTGAAAAATCAACTGTGGGAGCAATTATTAGGAAATGGAAGACATACAAGACCACTGATAATCTCCCTCGATCTGGGGCTCCACGCAAGATCTCACCCCGTGGGGTCAAAATGATCACAAGAACGGTGAGAAAAAATCCCAGAACCACACGGGGGGACCTAGTGAATGACCTGCAGAGAGCTGGGACCAAAGTAACAAAGCCTACCATCAGTAACACACTACGCCGCCAGGGACTCAAATCCTGCAGTGCAAGACGTGTCCCCCTGCTTAAGCCAGTACATGTCCAGGCCCGTCTGAAGTTTGCTAGAGTGCATTTGGATGATCCAGAAGAGGACTGGGAGAATGTCATATGGTCAGATGAAACCAAAATAGAACTTTTTGGTAAAAACTAAACTCGTCGTGTTTGGAGGACAAAGAATGCTGAGTTGCATCCAAAGAACACCATACCTACTGTGAAGCATGGGGGTGGAAACATCATGCTTTGGGGCTGTTTTTCTGCAAAGGGACCAGGACGACTGATCCGTGTAAAGGAAAGAATGAATGGGGCCATGTATCGTGAGATTTTGAGTGAAAACCTCCTTCCATCAGCAAGGGCATTGAAGATGAAACGTGGCTTTCAGCATGACAATGACAATGATCCCAAACACACCGCCCGGGCAACGAAGGAGTGGCTTCGTAAGAAGCATTTCAAGGTCCTGGAGTGGCCTAGCCAGTCTCCAGATCTCAACCCCATAGAAAATCTTTGGAGGGAGTTGAAAGTCCGTGTTGCCCAGCGACAGCCCCAAAACATCACTGCTCTAGAGGAGATCTGCATGGAGGAATGGGCCAAAATACCAGCATCAGTGTGTGAAAACCTTGTGAAGACTTACAGAAAACATTTGACCTGTGTCATTGCCAACAAAGGGTATATAACAAAGTATTGAGAAACTTTTGTTATTGACCAAATACTTATTTTCCACCATAATTTGCAAATAAATTCATTAAAAATCCTACAATGTGATTTTCTGGATTTTCTTTCCTCATTTTGTCTGTCATCGTTGACGTGTACCTATGATGAAAATCACAGGCCTCTCTCATCTTTTTAAGTGGGAGAACTTGCACAATTGGTGGCTGACTAAATACTTTTTTCCCCCACTGTATGTCATGATGAATCAGCTGCCATTTAACTGGGTTCAATGTCGAGGTATGAGTCATGACCCAGGGCCTGAGGTCAATTTGAAGCCTGTCCATAGAGCGGTGAGGAGGAGGAGTCTACCGTGTCTGGAAGCAACTTCACCATTCATTTACTGTATTCAGGGTTCACTCAAACATCGTTTTAAGCTCCTTTTAAATTATTATTATTTTTTTTTACTATTGACAGTTACAGCTGACTTCGAGATTGTATACCCATTCGCTCTCCTTAAATAAGTCATCTGATTTATTTGTTTCAGTCTCTGAATTGTTTAAATCAAACTTTATTCTGCCAGCTCATGATATCAGTGCATAAAAACTACAATCTCTACAGGTCTCCTGAATTAGCCTAGTGCGCATGGGCGTACATGCGCACTAAGCCTAAACTCGTTTTCCCATTTGAACTATGCTAGTTTCTGTCCTCATTGCCAAACTTAAAACACTACACCCTCGATTTTAAAACGCCTTTGCTAGTTATGCAATCATGTAACTAAGACATTTGCTGGTAAGAAACTTCAAAAGTATTTGTTTTATTAAATAGTCATGACTGGTTCGAGTATAGTCCTGTGTAGCTCAGTTGGTAGAGCATGGCGCTTGCAACGCCAGGGTTGTGGGTTCGATTCCCACGGGGGGCCAGTATGAAAATGTATGCACTCTAACTGTAAGTCGCTCTAGATAAGATTGTCTGCTAAATGACGTGAATGTCCTAAGACGACGGTGGCGAAGGATATCATTGCTACTTAACGCGGATCCAAGTTCAGTTTTGAGATCCAGCGGCGTCATTGGCGTAGGGTTTGTTTCTGACTGGTCTTGGAACTGTGACAACGGGCAGCCTCTCCCCGCTTTGCTCGATGGGATATGTAGTGATTTTTGCCAAAACAGCCAGCTATGTACACAGTCTTGTACCCTTAACCTTTTTTAAACTGATTATCGAATTTGTTGATTAAATCGGACTATTATTATAATGAGTAATCCAGGAATGTCACAAGTTAATTGACACGAGAAAATAGCAACTCTACAGGGCGCAATGACTACAATGAATGGCAAAATTACTTCAGGACACAAAAGGGTCTGCGGAGCTCCTCCTCCTCACCACCACTCTAGCTGGGTCATGGCTAGAAGGGATCCAGTTTATGTCAAATGAACGTCAAAAGTATACTTTTTTGGCATTTTAGCTAACCTAATTCTCCTAACATGCTACGTAATTTTTTGTAATGTCAGTTGCGGTGGCTCAACAAATCACAGCACAGACTGAAGGGTAAACTTCCTGCTTTTACTTCCTGCTAAGGTTACACTCAAAATGGTTGCCAGTCCACCCATTATGCCATCATTGACTTGAATGACGAACCCTGTCTACTCATTCTATTTCTGTGTGTCATAAAGCTACTAAGGTCATGCCAACAAGCAATGTAAGCATTTTGGGACCACTTGATTTTGGTAGGAAATTAGCTATATTTATTTATAATACCTGTGAATAAGTTGTCAGTGAGGCAGCTAGCTAGCCAGATCATGTGTGGTTGGAATAATATTTCCCTGTCAAGTTTGCAAGCCTTTTCCAGTAAAATTGTCTCAGTTGACTACAGCCAGGCAGAACAAACTTACACATATATAGCTAGACCTAAATGTCACTTCACTTGGAACTAGCTAGCGATGACTCTTTGCTAGTAAGGGGTTAATTCCATGAAAACAGAATTATGCTGAGGCTTATTTTTCACTTGCCAAACAAAAATCAATGATTGCAAAATTAAACAACCCATACAACTCTATGCACAAGGCCGAATTTTTACAATTTCCCCAGAATTGTACAAAAACACACTTTGAGAACAGTGCAGATGCAAAGTTTGGTAACAGAATGATGGCACAAACAGCATAAACCATCATTCTGTTACCAAACTTTGTATTTGCATTGTTCGTCAAGTAAATATTTTTATTAACATTTCTGTTAACATTTTTAAAAGTAGTCCTTGTGCATTGAGTTTTTGTTTGGTTCTTGTTTGACATAGCTAGCTACATTTCAAAGTGGAAAAGTCGGAGCCTGTTAACATAGAATTGCCCCAAGGCAACTTCCTAGCTACAATCTCTGTGTGGTTGACATGGAAACATAAAAAATGCCGTTAGCTACTGTAGCTCCCCAAACCGTGAACTAAGGTTATGACCATACAATAAATAACGTTAGCTAGCTAACTACATCTACCTAACAAATACAATAGTGGTTGCTACTGTCTGATGTGACTGTTGATAATTAATTTGTAGGTAACGTTTGCTAGCTAGCCTATGTTGACAGTCCTTGACAAAATAACCGTTAACCATAGCTAGTTAGCTTACTGAACAAAATAAAGTCAGCTTGCTTGCGCTAGACCAGAATACTAGGGCTAGGCCAATTTCCATTCCACCCATCACACGTTTCTAAACTGCGCCTACTATGTCAAAGCACATGGTTGTGTTGACTATGTTGTACGAAGTCGAAAGGCCGACAAGAGCAGGTCACCCCGATCGGACACTTACGGTTGGCGATGTCACCTCCCATTTTATACTTGGTGACAACCAAGTCCTCAGCGATAGTCTGTTCTTGTTCTTCGTTGTCAGACATCTTGGCAGCGACACTCTTCACAACAACACACTTCCTGATGGGTCAGGCACCAAGACCGACACCTGTGTGAAGCTAGCCACTATAAAGATTAGCCACAATAGTGGAATTTGCAGTTCGACTTCAAAATACAAGTCACCAATTGAAAGTGATTCAAACTGATACAAATAGTGGAATCATGTCATATTTGGAGTAGATAATGCTAAACAAGGTTGGAATGTTGTTATATAAATTCAAAACAATACACAAATTGCCGAACAATTTATCTAATTGCCACCCGTACTATTTACATTGACACCCCCCTTTGTTTTTACACTGCCGCTACTCGAAGTTTATTATCAATGCATAGTCACTTTACCCCTACCTACATGTACAAATTACCTCGACTAACCTGTACCCCCGCACATTGACTCGGCACTGTTACCCTCTGTATATAGCCTCGTTATTGTTATTTTATTGTGTTACTTTTTATTTAATTTTTTACTTTAGTTTATTTAGTAAATATTTTCTTAACTCTATTTCTTGGACTGCATTGTTGGTTAAGGGCTTGTAAGTAAGCATGTTGTATTCGGCGCATGTGACAAATAACATTTGATTTTATTTGTTCAGTGCATATATGTATGCCACCAATGCAATTCTAATACATCCACTGATTTGTGTCAAATTGATTAATTATTGTCTTTTGTTGAATTTATATAATTACATTCCGACCTTGTTTAGCGTTATCTAGTCCAAATATGGCAAGATTCCACTATTTGTATCCGTTTTAATCACTTTCAATGGGGTACTTTTATTTGTGAAGGCACAACGCAAAGTCAATTGTGGCTAATCCTTATTGTGGCTAGCTTCACACAGGCACCGACACTACAAAGCCAGAGATACTTATGAGGAGATGGTCAACTCTATTGATACGGCTCTGGGTCGCGCGGTGCATTCTGGGCGATTCTGGGACAAGGAGAGCTCTCCTTCAAGGAGTGAATGGGAGTCAATTGGACTCTAGCTCAAAAACCCAACATTAGCATGAATTTCGTCAACAAGAAGTACAACATTACAAATATTTTCCAAGATGTGAGATAACTAACTTGCTATCTGTAATATTGTATAGCTTGGGAATCGTGACATTGCGTACTTTCGAGAAAATAGGCACGTTTCTAGACTCATACCCTGACTTATATCGCTGAGTTGCGAATTGCTAACTTGTAGAAAATTATCCAGTTTCCCACTTGGGAAGTATCAGAATCAACCAGTATGAAGCTCTATGCAAATAACTTAAATTCATTTTAACGCGGAGGTTCCAAGTTTCCGATAGCATGTGAACACGGCATTAGAGCAGCATCTTTGATTTCCTTGCGCCTCTACCGAAGGTCGTACCGAATTTACACCGAGGTGCCATCCCACATCTGACACCAATGTGTAAATTCTGTCCTGGGTCGCATCCTTATCGGGATTCAATCTACAGTCCCTGAGACTGTCAGTCCAACACCTTAACCGTTATGCACAGAGAATAACTTGACAAGGTCGCTAATTGTTGTACTAAAGTCACTATAAATGTGGTTCCGGGGATGTTGTTTCAGGTGTTGAGCTCTGGTAATCTGCTCAACCCAACTGGAATAACGACGACATGGAATGTGCCTATTCATTTCTCACTTACCCCAAAGAATGGGACTGTGTAAAAACTGAACAGCAAGACAGCACCATAGAAATGAATTAAACATCTATTATCAACAGACTGATTGTGAATTATGTCTGGTCCCCATGATTAATGAAAAAAATCACATACATTCTTCAAAGATTTTTATTATGTAGAAAATACTCAATAGTATCACTTAAAGGTTACATTAACATTTTCAAAACATGAAAATACAATAGAAAAATAACATTGTACGAAACAATTTTTTGTTCTTATAAGTAAAAACATATACAAAGCTTATAATCGGGCCATTTCTATTAGTGCTTCACCCACTCACAGTGCCTTACACTTATAATACAGTATCATATTTCAAAGAAAAGAAAACATCCCAAAGCTTACACGTTATTATGGCTAAAAACATGATCAATGTAAACCTGTAACAGACACATTAAAGGCTGAACTTCCTGATTTGGCCTCTTTTTCGGCTTGGTCATTAAGAAATGCAGCGGCCATGACTGAAGCCAAACGAGAGTTGTCTTGTTGGGTGGTTTAATGTGGGTGTCTCTTGTGTGTGTGTTCGTATGTGGCAAGCATTTGTACATTCACTCTACCAAAACAGTACACAGTTACTGTAACTCACCCTTCTAGATATCTTGAAACCTGGTCTTGTGTCTTAAAGCTGCCTAAGATAGCTAGTGCTAGCCAACTTATTTTGCCAATTAGCTTCAGCAGGCTGGTGTGTGACCGTGGCAAAGTAGATTTTTCATGTTGCACAATATTTTCATGTTGCACATCTTTTAGTTGTCTAATTACATGCTTTCAATATTTGTAAATGAATTTCTACAATTTATAGTTTGTTTGAGGTTTTTAAGTCATTTCAATTTGGAGCTATTGACATTCAAAAATATTGTCCCATGTACATTGTGTAATTTACTAATGGTCCCTATCTAGCCCCATAGAGATATCAAATGTCGAACCAAATTGACCATGGGCATTACAATCTCCAAATTGATGATTACTTGGGTGCTGCCAGCTGTGGGCAGGATTGAAATAAACCCAACTACAGGCAAACTATTACGGTACCCTTTATTCCGTGACATAAAATATTTTCCTATCATCTCGCAGATCTCTGTTTTAGACGAGACTGACTTTATGATTTACACTTTGTAGTCAGTTTTGACACTAGAATAAATGTTTCTGACTCATATTGATGCCACATGAGCCATTTTTAAAACAAGAAGTTGCTTTTTAGTGGCAATCGCTCTTTAAAGATACAAAAATGGCACACAAAGATATATCTTCAATATTTTTGATTTTTGGATGGCTCTGGATTGGTTTCTCCCCTCTCCTGGTCCTTCATTGATTTCAATGGGCATGGAACAGCTACAGATGCAGCTATCCCCTTCAGTGTCGAGGAAGGAGGTCCACTTCCCTACGTGCTCACAGCGTTAGGCTTCAGGAACAACCTGCTCTGCCAGTAGTCTGGATTGTCAAATGAGCGATCTCCGCCACCAGGCTCCCCCACCCCTACCCCTGCACGCACTTTTACAAATGCCCCCATCCCTGTGCGCTGACCCCCCATGCCCCCCACTACACCCTCACCTTCTCCCTGCAAATTCTCGTACTCCACTGGGTCCCCAGCTCCAGGAGCGGCCAGGGAATCCATGTCCTCGTACTCATCCACCTCTCCCTCTCCTCCTCTCTGCATCCTCAGCCCCTCCCTGCCTCGCAGAGCCTGCCGCAGCTTGGGCTGCCTGTTAGTGTAATGATAGTCGTCCTCTTCTACGTATTCATCCTCCTCCTCCTCTTCCTCCACCTCTCTCTCGCCTCTCATCCGCTGTTTGGGCGTAGCTCCAGGATGAGGGACAACTCGTGGTGGGGGATAGTCTGGTCTTTCACTGGCCTCTGGTCCAACACTTCGAATGTCCATGTACTCATATTCAACGTCACCAGAACCCCTTTCCTCTATTTTGTCTGAATCAGAGTTGAGGGCAGGGGATTCATAGTCCTGGTGTTCTTCATTCTTGGTTTGGCCTCCCCTGTTCTCCCCAGCTGATGTCCTGTGCCCCGTGCACTCTGTGTACTCTGTATCCGGGGATGGCAGAGAAGAGCGTTGCCTCTTCTTCATCTTCAGCCACTGGCCATCTTTGGAATGGCCAGGCTGCTGCCTGGGGGAGAGAGACATCATGCACGCCTGTTTGTTCATGTACTCATATTCCTCACAGGCACTGTCATGGTCCTCTGAGGGTCCTGATGGGTATGAGGGAACCTTGGGCGTCCTCCCATGAGGAAGGGTGACCCGTGAGCTAGACAGTAGCGTATCTGTGGAGAACAGTGACAAGGGAAAGAGGAGTGAGTAAGGTGATCCAGAGATCTGAAATGATCTGAGTACTCTTGCAATTAACACTGACACTTTGAGTTATAACAATGATCATGCAACCATCCACTAACACGTCATACAAAAACATATGACTCTATTTATATGGCTTAAAGAAAATGTATCTATGGTATCACCTCTCTCTGGACTGTCACCCAGTCCGGGGAGCACGTATCCGTTCTGGTCCTCCTCCCCCTCTGTGTCAGGGGAGGGGGTCTCAGGTGGCCCCCCTGACATGCTGTCCCTCTGAGACATGTAGGCACTGTCCTCCCGATGCCGCTTCCTCTGTAGGCTGCCAGCCAATAAGAAGTCCTCGCTCATCTCCAGCTCCACCAACGTGCCCCTGCCCTCGGAGCTCTCTGACACAGTGCGGGCGGAGTTGAGGCGAGAGCGAGACGCTGGCAGCCACACCATCTATACAGAGGAACAGGGGGTATAATGCAATATGAGTGATCAACCCTATAGGAATGATATAGGGTAGAAGACTTTCAATAATAAATGTGTTAGCATGTAGACGTTTTCAGTAGGTTTTCATGTATCTTTGTCATCTCCAGTGACTGACCTGAGGGTTATCCAGTCCTGGGGTCATGGGCAGGTATCCAGCCTGACTGCTGTGTACACCCTGAGGGGAATACAGGAATGGGACAGGACATGATGGGAGTTAGAAAAAAACAGGATAACCAAAAGGTTGTTTCGATCTGCCCATGTTATATATTTACCACGTGCCCTGACCAGGACTATAGGTCCGGAAAAACTCCTGGCCCCATACAGTATAAAGTGTATGCATAGGGAGAGATGCCTCATATGACCCCTCACCCTGTGGCTTTCCATTCGTGAGAGTCGAGAAATACTCCTGGCCTGTGACAGATAGAGAGGAGGTGTGGCCATGCCGTCCCCTAGCCTCTCCTCATCCTGGTCCTCCAGCCCCACCTCCATGTGATCCAGCTCTGTACCCCGGTGGTGAGACTCGTCTGAGGGAGAGTCCGACGGGCTGCAGTCCCCCTGGTGGACAGAGGAAGATAAAGAAATAAACTTCAATCATCATCATCATCATCATCATCACCACCATCACTAACAACATCATCATTATTATCCTCATGAGCTGACATTTGGTGTGGATGAACAAGCAACGGCACAGTCTTAGGACTGTAATGATTGGCATCTGGGAGTGGACTCCAAAAAACACATTCTTAGCAAACTTTGATTTATATGGCTATTGATTACTGATTTCTCCCAAGGGTGGCATTCTGTCTTACCTTGATCACAAGGTACCGAGGCGGGTCCCTGGCCATTCTGGTAAACTCATTGGCCAGTTCCTTGAAGGTGGGACGGACATTCTCGTCAATCATCCAGCCTGTAAATTATGATAATGCCATGTGAGTCCCATTGAAAATAGTGTCAGTTGTTTGTACATCCTTTATAAACGATACTTTCATAGCAAAACTAATTATTACAATGTAATACTGTACATGCAATGTACTCTAACAAATTTCACACAGATCTGATAGGTATTGTGGGTGAAGGAGAGAGGGTAGGAACTCACACTTGACCATGACCATGTAGACATCTATGGTGCAGATGTGTGGCTGGGAGAGACGCTCGCCCTTCTCCAGCAGGTCAGGCACTTCCTGTGGACGCATCGTTGAGTAGGGCTCCGCCCCATATGACATCATCTCCCACACTGTCACTCCTGCAAGACGGAGAAATATAATTGACATTGTAAAATCATGGTAAGTCAACATACACATATACACACAAGTACTTTCAACTTACCATTGATATAAAAGTCTATAAAAGCACATGAAACATACACACACACAGTGACTCACCATAGCTCCAGACATCACTTTGATGTGTGTATCTGCGGAACAAGATGCTCTCCAGAGCCATCCATTTGATGGGCGTCTGTGGTGAGAGAGACAAGACAGGGAACTATTACATTTACATTTACATTTTAGTCATTTAGCAGACGCTCTTATCCAGAGCGACTTACAGGAGCAATTAGGGTTAAGTGCCTTGCTCAAGGGCACATCGACAGATTTTTCACCTAGTCGGCTCGGGGATTAGAACCAGCGACCTTTCGGTTACTGGCACAACGCTCTTAACCACTAAGCTACCTGCCGCCCACCATGAGTTACACCCAGTTCAAAGCCTGTGGCCACTGGAAAAAACACCTATTAGTTAGTGTTCATGGCAACAATACAAAACACGTAGAGAAACAGGCCATGTATCCAGTCAACATCTCACCAAACAGAAAATAAACAGGCCATGTATCCAGTCAACATCTCACCAAACAGAAAATAAACAGGCCATGTATCCAGTCAACATCTCACCAAACAGAAAAGAAACAGGCCATGTATCTAGTCAACATCTCACATAACAGAAAATAAACAGGCCATGTATCTAGTCAACATCTCACCTAACAGAAAAGAAACAGGCCATGTATCTAGTCAACATCTCACCTAACAGAAAAGAAACAGGCCATGTATCTAGTCAACATCTCACCTAACAGAAAAGAAACAGGCCATGTATCTAGTCAACATCTCACCTAACAGAAAAGAAACAGGCCATGTATCTAGTCAACATCTCACCTAACAGAAAAGAAACAGGCCATGTATCTAGTCAACATCTCACCCTACAGAAAATAAACAGGCCATGTATCTAGTCAACATCTCACATAACAGAAAATAAACAGGCCATGTATCTAGTCAACATCTCACCTAACAGAAAAGAAACAGGCCATGTATCTAGTCAACATCTCACCTAACAGAAAAGAAACAGGCCATGTATCTAGTCAACATCTCACCTAACAGAAAAGAAACAGGCCATGTATCTAGTCAACATCTCACCTAACAGAAAAGAAACAGGCCATGTATCTAGTCAACATCTCACCTAACAGAAAAGAAACAGGCCATGTATCTAGTCAACATCTCACCCTACAGAAAATAAACAGGCCATGTATCTAGTCAACATCTCACATAACAGAAAATAAACAGGCCATGTATCTAGTCAACATCTCACCTAACAGAAAAGAAACAGGCCATGTATCTAGTCAACATCTCACCCTACAGAAAATAAACAGGCCATGTATCTAGTCAACATCTCACCTAACAGAAAAGAAACAGGCCATGTATCTAGTCAACATCTCACCCTACAGAAAATAAACAGGCCATGTATCTAGTCAACATCTCACATAACAGAAAATAAACAGGCCATGTATCTAGTCAACATCTCACCTAACAGAAAAGAAACAGGCCATGTATCTAGTCAACATCTCACCCTACAGAAAATAAACAGGCCATGTATCTAGTCAACATCTCACATAACAGAAAATAAACAGGCCATGTATCTAGTCAACATCTCACCTAACAGAAAATAAACAGGCCATGAATCTAGTCAATATCTCACCTAACAGAAAATAAACAGGCCATGTATCTAGTCAACATCTCACCTAACAGAAAATAAACAGGCCATGTATCTAGTCAACATCTCACCTAACAGAAACAACAGCAGATGCTTCTAGACAATTTGGAGAAGAAGATAGAAGTAGGCTGAGACATTGTCCATGACAAGATTTTCCGGACCATGTGACCTAACCAAGAAGTCAACACACCTTGACCTCATTGTAGACGTACTTCTTGTCGTCAGGGTATAGCAGGTCTGCGATGCCGTAGTCAGAGATCTGGACCATGTAGTCACTTTTCAAAAGAACGTTCCTTGCTGCCAGGTTTCTGTGGACCATCCTGTGTTCCTCCAGATAGTACATACCCTGACAGGGGAGAGGACACACACCTCGGTCACATAAACAATCGCGCGCACACACACACACACACACACACACACACACACACACACACACACACACACACACACACACACACACACACACACACACACACACACACACACACACACACACACACACACACACACACACACACACACACACACACACACACACACACACACACACACACACACACACAGAGGGTATCTCACCTTGGCAATCTGCACGCACCAGTTGAGAAGCCTCTGTGGGTCCAGGCTGTCCCTGTAGTGCCTGATGTGCTCCAGTAAGGACCCCTGAGTGCTGAGCTGGGTGACCAGCTGGAGACTGGCACCTGGACAGACGCCTAAGAGCCTGACGATGTACTGGTGGTCCAAGCTACCCATCACCAACATGTGCTGCAGGGGTTAATAGAAAAATCAGCATTAGTAAACAGAGTCAAGATAAGTGTTATCAGGTCAGTTATGATTTGAAGGGGCAGGTGTTCTTGAGAATGGGTGTGTGACAGTATATATTGTGTTTTCTTACGTCTGTGATCTCATGGAAGGTCTGCCGCCCCGTTCGATCATGAATAGTCTTTATGGCCACAGGGATCTTCACTGAATCTCCCTCAGGAATCCAAATGCCCTGAGAAAGGTGGAGGAAAAGACAAGGGGAGAGGGGTTACCTCACCATGAAACAAAGACCAGCAAGGTAAGTAGCACAATACACATAGGGCCTATGGTAAATGGTAGGAACATCAGAGAGGTGCAGGGTGGTGATGATAATAGGGGGTTTAAGAGGGCGACGGTTGATGATGTAAGCACCTTGTGGATGGAGCCAAACACCCCGGTGCCCAGCAGCTTGAGCTTACGGAGCTCTCTGACCTTCAGGATCCTGGCATGAACTTTGACCCCCTTCTCACCAGGGTCCAAGGGCTCTAAACTCTACGGACACACACAAATGCACACAGTTAATATCAGGACATATCAAGACAACAACACACACACACTCTTTTAAAAAAATCCGTATTTTCTCTCTCTCTCTCACACACACACAAATACACACACCCTCCCTCATCTCCCCTCCCCTCCCTCATCTCCCCTCTCCTCCCTCCTCACCTCTCCACTCTCCAGGTATCGCCTCATGGCTCTCTTGCGCCGGATGGCAAGACCTCTCCGGTACAGAACACTCATCACAAAGATGGAGAAGCCCACTATTACTGCTGCCAAAACTCCCAGAACGATGCCTGTAATGGATTGGCTGGAAAGAGACACAGGAAGAGGTATTAGCCAATCAGCCCCTGATATACAGTGCATTCGGAAAGTATTCAGACCTCTTGACTTTTTCCACATTTTGTTACGTTAGATTGATGAGGGAAAAAAACAACTTAATCCATTTTAGAATAAGGCTGTATGTAACGTAACAAAATGTGGAAAAAGTCAAGGGGTCTGAATACTTTCCGAATGCACTGTAGAATAATGAAGATTGCTATGTTCTAGACTAGAGAACACAGAACACACTTTAATTGTCATTACAGTGAGGAGAAATCAGGTTGTCAGTCACAGGTAGAGAAAAGATAGAGGCTACACTCACCCAGTGGTTAATCTGGAGGAGTCCAAACAGTCCCCAATGCCTGGGCCTGAGCAACTGAAAACACAGAACAGAGAGGTATTTAACACACACGCACGCACACACACACACACACACACACACACACACACACGCACACACGCCACACTCCCCCATTCTCTGACTCGTCTCTCACCCCTGGGTGCAGTTGAGGTGGCAGTGCTCACAGCGTCTCTGATGGTTGGGGTATTTAAAGATGAGACCCTTCTCCCCCATCACTCCCTCAGGGCATGAGGACACACAGTGGGGACCGTCCCTCAGACTGGCACACACCACACACATATTAGCTCCCTGCAGAGAGAGCGAGAGCGAGAGAGAGAGAGAGAGAGAGAGAGAGAGAGAGAGAGAGAGAAAGAGAGAGAGAGAGAGAGAGGGAGACAGGGAGAGAGAGATTGAGAGAGATGGAGAGTTGACAATTTCCATGTAACTGTGGTCCAAAATATCCTCCACAAGGTGGCAGTGAAGCGCTACATTTCAGATAGTCCTGAGAACTTTGAGAGACACTTTTCAACTGATCACGCTGAGCTTATAGAACTGTCTTTTTATGATGCATTGAGAGATATGGGCAGAGGTCAGAGATGAGCATACCGGTCCTGTGCAGGTGGGCTGTCCCTCCTGGACCTCACACTCTGAGTGACAGGGCATACACTCGTCCTTTGGACCTACAAACTCACGCCCCTCCCTGGAGAAAAACAGAGAGATTGAGATTGAAAAAGAGGTTAAACACATAGTCACACACACACACATTGAGAAATACTGACAAATTTACATTATAATAAAGATACATTGTTTTGACTGAGTACTGACCCAGTGAGAAATCTGCACTGATGGACACAGGTTCCCCCTCGGTTGTAGTTCTTACATGACATACACTGGTCCGGCCCAGGACCCCAACACCCCTCCGACGAACACAGTGGGTCACACTTGTGCCCCTCCTCAACTACACACAAACCAAAAAATATGCAAAAAACTATTAGTACTTCACTAGTTTACCCGCCATATTCACTCAATGATTTTCAGATTTCACCCACTCTTTCTCCTCTGTCCCCCTGTCTCACCACACTGGCTCTGGGGCCGGTTTTCCTTGACATCAATGTTCTTCTGGCGGCGCTGTGGGCGGGAGCTGCTGCTGAAGAGGCGTGTCCAGTTGACGGTGTGGTGGTAGCACAGCTTCTTGTTTCCTGTGATGTAGACGCCGCCGTCGTTGATCCTCCGCAGCGAGCGCAGCCCCAGAGAGGTCAGGGATGGGATGCGCATCACCAGCAGGGAGTAGCCCCTGAACAAGAGGGAGGAGGGAAGAACGCAGGAGGAAGAAGAGGAGCAGGGCAGAGGGGTAGAGAGGTATGTGAGATAACAGGAGAGAGGGTCAAAGGTGAGGGAGCAGAGAGAGGAGAATCATCAGGGTGGAGGGAATGGAGGATATTTCAGATTTTTTTTTTTTTACAAATGGTGCTGGGAACATCAAGTCAGGACAGATTAAAAAATAAATCCCGCAATCGGCATTGCTGCTTCCAAACATTAATTGATTGTCTACATGTAGACAGAAAATGTGTGTGTTGTTATGTAGGGAATGCATATGTCATTGTCTTTGAGATTAGTTTGATCAATGCCACCTATTCACCCAGTGACTCCCAGTACCCAATTCTTCACTTATAGAAGTGTCCTTGGTCATATGGTATGATCAAGTTCAAAATACAATCATGAGGATAGTGGTTACCTTATACCTCAACACAAATCCCTCACCCACCACCACCAACTGAGACACTTCTCATACAGTTCAAGACACAACACATAACCAATTCTGAGTAAAATGTTGTTTAGCATGCATAGTCACAGGTGATAAGGAGGAACTTGTGTCAGTATGATGTTGTCTTATCATTTCACACAGTATCAGGAAGATTAGTAAAACAGCTGTCATAAACACTACTGTACCTTTTAGAGCGCCCTCCTCTGATAGGACAAACAAGACAGAGAGAGAGACAGAGAGAGAGACAGAGAGCGAGACAGAGATAGAGACAGAGAGAGAGACAGAGATAGAGATAGAGAGAGACAGAGAGAAAGAAAGAGATACAGAAGAGAGAGACAGAGAGAGAGACAGAGAGAGAGAGCGAGACAGAGAGCGAGACCGAATAAAAGACAGGAGAAAGAAAGAATACAGAAGAAGAGACAAAACGAGACAAAAACGAGAGAGACAAGAAAGGGAACAGAAAAACCCGGAAAAGCCCCAAAGAAAATACAGAGAGAAGAAAAGAGAGGAGACAAAAGAAAAACAAAATAACATTGGGAACAATAAAAGAGAGAGCGAGTTGACAGAGAGAAGACAGAGAGAAAATTAGAAAAGAACAGAGAGGGGAGACAAAAGATAGAGACCAAAAAGAAGACAAAAGACAAGAGACGAAGGGGAGAGAGAACAAGAGGGGAACAGAAGAAAAAGAGAGGAAGAGGAGAGAGAGAAAGGCATAGACCCAACAAAGCGAAACCGAGATAGGGAACAGAGAAAAAGAATAGAATAAGAGATGAGACAGAGAGACAGAACAAAAACCGAGAGAGACAGAGAAGAGACAAAAGAAAAAGAGCCAAAATAGGGGAGAAAAAGGGGAGAAGAAAACAGAAGAGAAAACAGAGAGAGAGACAGAAGAGACGGGAACAGAGAGAGCCCGGAGAAAAGAGGAGGACAAAAAGAGACAGGGGAAAAGACAGAGGAGACGGGAAAAGGAGCCAAGAGGGGTTACAGAGAGAAGCAGAGAGACAGTAAAAGGACAGAAGAGAGACAAGATAGAACACAAGAGAGAAGACAAAAAGAGAGAAGACAGAGATAGAGACAAAAGAGAAGAGAGAAAAGAAGGAGAGAATAGAGAGGGGGAAGAGAGAGAGAGAGGGGAGAAGAGAAAAGAGAGAGAAGAGAGCCCGGAAAAAAACGAGAGAAAACAGAGACGAGAGAGAGACAAAGGGGACCGATAAAAGGAACAGATAGAGAAAACAAGAGAAGAGACAAAAGAGAGAGACAGAGAAAAAACCCGGAAAAGAAAGAGAGACAGAGAAAAAAGAAGAAAACAGAGGAGACAAAAGAGGTAACAGAAGAAAAGGACAAAGACAGAGAAACAGAGACAGAGAGAAGAGACCAGACATAGAAAGCCCGAGAGAAGCCCAAAGACAGAGAAAACCGAAACCCGAAGAGAGAGAGCCGGGAAAGAGGCAGAAGAAGAGAGAGAGAACCGGGCGAGAGAACGAGGAGTAATAGAGAGACAAAAGAACCGAAGAGAGAGCCCCAAGAAGAGAACAAGAAAGGCCCGAAAGAGAGAGAGACAAAAGGAGAAAAGGACAGAGCCCGAAGAGACAAGAAGGAGATAAAATAGAGAGAAGAAATAAACAGAGAGGGGACCAGAGAGAGACCAGAGAGAGAAAAGAAGAGCCCAGAGAAAACAGAGATAAGGCCCGAAAAAGAGACAAAAGAGAAAACAGAAGAGAGAGAAAAACGAGAAGAGACAGAAGGGGACAGAAGAGAAAAGGAAAAGAGACAAGAAAGAGACAGAGGAGACAGAGAGAGACAAAGCCCAGAGCGAGAGCAAGAGAGCCCGAGAAGAGACAAAAAAACGGGCAAAGGAGAGAGACCAAAAAGAGAGAGAGAGACAGAGAGGGGGGGCCGCAGAAGAGACAGAGAGAGAGGAGACAGAGCGAGCTACAGAGAGAGAGACAGAGAGAGAGGACAGAGATAGAGACAGAGAGAGACAGAAGAGACAGAGAGAGGACGAGGACAGCAGGGAGAAGAGACAGAAGAGAGAGAGGACAGAAGATGAGAACGCCCCCCCCCCCCCAAAGAGACAGATAGAGACAGAGGGGACAGAGACGAAGGAGAGCAAGGGACAGAGGAGACAGAGAGAGACAGAAGAGACAGAGAGAGAGACAGAGAGAGAGACAGACAGAGAGAGAGACAGAGAGAGAGACAGAGAGAGAGACAGAGAGAGAGACAGAGAGAGACAGAAGAGACAGAGAGAGAGACAGAGAGAGAGACAGAGAGAGACAGAGAGAGACAGAGAGAGAGGGGAACATAGTAGAGGATAAGAAAAGGGGTGAAAGGGGATGAGAGATAAAGTGGTGACAAGACACACAAGACACAACAGGTCAGTCTATGCATGCATGTCTACAATGCAGTTAAACACAGATTGAGATGGCGATGGGCTCAGTGTACAAATAATGTAGAGCGTGAACAAGATATTTATTTAGTGCAGAGAGACAGAGACACAAGTATAATGAGGAAGACAGACAGATGGTCACCTGTAAAGGGTTCTTCCTTGTATGGTTGTCAAATTGGAGAAGACTGACAGGTCTGTCAGAGTTTCTGGCCACGACTGGATACTCAGAATGTCTGGCAACCGGAGAAGGTGTGTTACAAACACAGAACACCATCCAAACACAAATACATCATATCACTCACACTGCTACCACTAAACTGACACATGCACTTGAAACTTCAACACACACACACACACCTGTGATCTCTCGCACAGTTCTGAAGATCTTCAGTTTCTCTGGGTCCAAAGCTGTGATGTTGTTGTAGGGATCACTGTGTATAGAAGATCAACCAACAGAGAAGTAGTGAGGACCAATGAAAAGTGAACAAGCTGACATTACTGTGTATTTTGAATATACAGATGTACAGTGAGGGAAAAAAGTATTTGATCCCCTGCTGATTTTGTACGTTTGCCCACTGACAAAGAAATGATCAGTCTATCATTTTAATGGTAGGTTTATTTGAACAGTGAGAGACAGAATAACAACAACAAAATCCAGAAAAACGCATGTCAAAAATGTTATAAATTGATTTGCATTTTAATGAGGGAAATAAGTATGTGGTCCTCTGTAGCTCAACTGGTAGAGCCCGGCGCTTGTAACGCCAAGGTAGTGGGTTCGATCCCCGGGACCACCCATACACAAAAATGTATGCACGCATGACTGTAAGTCGCTTTGGATAAAAGCGTCTGCTAAATGGCATATTATTATTATTATTATTATTATTATTATTATAAGTATTTGACCCCCTCTCAATCAGAAAGATTTCTGGCTCCCAGGTGTATTTTATACAGGTAACGAGCTGAGATTAGGAGCACACTCTTAAAGGGAGTGCTCCTAATCTCAGCTTGTTACCTGTATAAAAGACACCTGTCCACAGAAGCAATCAATCAATCAGATTCCAAACTCTCCACCATGGCCAAGACCAAAGAGCTCTCCAAGGGTGTCAGGGACAAGATTGTAGACCTACACAAGGCTGGAATGGGCTACAAGACCATCGCCAAGCAGCTTGTTGAAAAGGTGACAACAGTTGGTGCGATTATTCGCAAATGGAAGAAACACTAAATAACTGTCAATCTCCCTCGGCCTGGGGCTCCATGCAAGATCTCACCTCGTGGAGTTGCAATGATCATGAGAATGGTGAGGAATCAGCCCAGAACTACACGTGAGGATCTTGTCAATGATCTCAAGGCAGCTGGGACCATAGTCACCAAGAAAACAATTGGTAACACACTACGCCGTGAAGGACTGAAATCCTGCAGCGCCCGCAAGGTCCCCCTGCTCAAGAAAGCACATATACATGCCCGTCTGAAGTTTGCCAATGAACATCTGAATGATTCAGAGGAGAACTGGGTGAAAGTGTTGTGGTCAGATGAGACCAAAATCGAGCTCTTTGGCATCAACTCAACTCGCCGTGTTTGTAGGAGGAGGAATGCTGCCGAACACCATCCCCACCATCAAACATGGAGGTGGTAACATTATGCTTTGGGGGTGTTTTTCTGCTAAGTGGACAGGACAACTTCACCACATCAAAGGGATGATGGACGGAGCCATGTACCGTGAAATCTTGGGTGAGAACCTCCTTCCCTCAGCCAGGGCATTGAAAATGGGTCATGGATGGGTATTCCAGCATGACAATTACCCAAAACACACGGCCAAGGCAACAAAGGTGTGGCTCAAGAAGAAGCACATTAAGTCCTGGAGTGGCCTAGCCAGTCTCCAGACCTTAATCCCATAGAAAATCTGTGGAGGGAGCTGAAGGTTCGAGTTGCCAAACGTCACGCTTGAAACATTAATGACTTGGAGAAGATCTGCAAAGAGGAGTGGGACAAAATCTCTGCTGAAATGTGTGCAAACCTGGTGGCCAACTACAAGAAACGTCTGACTTCTGTGATTGCCAACAAGGGTTTTGCCACCAAGTACTAAGTCATGTTTTGCAGAGGGGTCAAATACTTATTTCCCTCATTAAAATGCAAATCAATTTATAACATTTTTACATGCGTTTTTCTGGATTTTTTGTTGTTATTCTGTCTCTCACTGTTCAAATAAACCTACCATTAAAATTATAGACTGGTAATTTCTTTGTCAGTGGGCAAACGTACAAAATCAGCAGGGGATCAAATACTTTTTTCCCTCACTGTAGGATCTTAATTTGAGCCAGTTTGCTACAGCAGGAAAATGCCCCTGCAGCAACAGGACGTGAACTATTATGTGGATTATAATTAAAGGATTTTTTTTTGTAGGGGATGATACATTTTTCGTTTTAAAGTGGTAATTAGAAACTTTAGAAGCCTTTTTTAACCTTTAATACACTACAAGTTTGCAGCAAAATTCTCAACAACAAATTAAGATCCTACATCTGTACATTGAGTGTATAAACATTAGGAACACCTGTTCTTTATGACATAGACTGACCAGGTGAATCCAGGTGAAAGTTATGATCCTTTATTGATGTAACTTGTTAAATCCACTTCAATCAGTGTTGATGAAGGGGAGGAGACAGGTTAAAGAAGGATTTTTAAGCCTTGAGACAATTAAGACATGGCTTGTGTGTGTGCCATTCAGAGAATGAATCGGCAAGACAAAATATTTAAGTGCCTTTGAATGGGATATGGTAGTAGGTGCCAGGCGCACCAGTTTGTGTCAAGAACTGCAACGCTGCTGGGGTTTTCACGCTCAACAGTTTCCCATGTGTATCAAGAATGGTCCACCACCCAAAGGACATCCAGCCAACTTGACACAACTGTGGGAAGCATCGGAGTCAACATGGGCCAACATCCCTGTGGAATGCTTTGGACCCCTTATAGAGTCCATGCCTCAACGAATTGAGGCTGTTCTGAGGGGAAAAGGGGGTGCAACTCAAAATTAGGAAGGTGTAGATTTCTTAAAGTATTTTAAAAAAATGTTTATTGGATAGAGAGAGATAGAGGAGAGAGTGCTGAAAGAGCATTGGACCAGATTGGAAACCATACTGGCAGCAGTACATGATACATGTTCTCCAGCTGCAGCGTCTTAGACCACTAGACCACCCCAGGCCATGCCATTTTGATAGGACATTGCAACTGTCACTCACCCTTTGATCCCGGTGACCAGAAAGTGCAGGCTGCCCTGGATCTTGGTGCAGTTGATGAAACTGTCAATGTTCTGAGAGTCCACTGTCTGTCTGGAAGCTGTGCCTGTTCCTTGACAAGCTAGAGAGGAGAGGAGAGGAGAGGAGAGGAGAGGAGAGGAGAGGAGAGGAGAGGAGAGGAGAGGAGAGGAGAGGAGAGGAGAGGAGAGGAGAGGAGAGGAGAGGAGAGGAGAGGAGAGGAGAGGAGAGGAGAGGAAATAATTGATAAATCTAAAGTTTCACTACATGAGTGATAAGGACAGGTTGCTGGAGTATAGAACCCTCTACAGATCTATGATAGTTGAGGGGTTATGTGTGGACACTGGACAGGCATGTACCTTTGGGACAGAGGCCTCCACAGGGCTCACACCTCTTCACTCCTTTTTTCTCCCCCTCCGTCTTATAAGGGGGGCAGCTGCTCACACACGAGCTCCCGTCCACCACAAAATTAGCTGAGGAGGAATGAGAGACAGAGAAAGAGTGGGGCACAGGGATATTGGACCATGCTAGAAATTGATAGATTGAATGTTGTCATGATGGTCATGGTTAGGGCCAGGAGTTGACCGGTGAGGTGTAGTGGATAGAGCATGCTGTGTGTGGACTTACTGGGGCACTGGGCCACGCAGATGGAGCCGTACTGGTACTTGGCGCTGGGGTTGGGCTCCAGTTTGAAGGTGTGTTTGTTGTAGATGAGGGTCTGGGGACACTGTGGCACACAGGAGCCTGAGTTGTTGAAGTTACGGCAGGCCTGGATAGAGAAAATACAGTTATGCATTGCTTAGTAGTATAGTTTTTACCCATTCATTTCTATTCAATGACTATCAGAACTACTGGTAACACTTCTTTGCAGTATGCTTGTGTGTATAGAAAACTCACAAAGCAGTCTGTGTCCAGGGGTCCGGTGCAGCCTCCTGCACACTCCATATGACAGCACTCACTGGGACTCCTCCCAAAGCAGCGGCCATTACACTGAGGGGCACACACCGTCTTTGTCACTGAGGGGGAGAGAGAGAGAGAGAGAGAAAGAGAGAGAGAGAGAGAGAGAGAATACTTTGAGAAAAGCAATCTGACTGAGCTGGGTTGTATGAGACAAGGGGTTATCTAGTGTTGTAAGAAAATTACAACCAGGTGACTAACAGATCTGGCAGGTGTCATTCCTGGGCCCCCAACATGGACCTGTGCATGCCTCATCACATGGCTCTGAAAAACAACATGTCAGAAATGTTAGAAAACATAAAAGCTACATCATACAAGAACATGGATCCTAACCATTGAACATAAAAGTTATCTGTACTGTAGCAGTCCTACCACTAATCTGAATACATAACATTGACTTCTGTGAATCCTACCATGTACCTCCCACTGTACTCACGTTCAGGCCCGTTCTCGTTGATGATGACCTCAGAGTCTCCATCCTTCACTATGTCCAGCCAGTTCACCTGAGGGGTGTAGCTCAGGAACTTATTCTGAATGATCTGCACCCCTCCCTCCAGTATCTCTGTGGAACACACACACACAATTAGTTTACTGTTTCTAGTCAAGGTAATTGCCATAACAGGCCAGAACCCATTGGTGAGTAACCAAATCAAATCTGACACAAATCTGTATTTCTCTCTCACCCTATAGTGCCTCCACTCATCTCTCATGTTACACTGACAGTTGGGTACATAGTAAAGAGCATTCCAGCAGGAACTTCCCATAAAGACATCTACTCATATTGTACCTGACACACAGACAGGCAAACACACACACACACACACACACACACACACACACACACACACACACACAGACCCTCCTTGAACCCATGTCAACAAGAGGTGTGGTTGTACTATGTGGGTGTGGGAGTGCCAACAGTAACATCCAACCTGCCTAGCAGGCTCTCCTTTCTTTATGTCTAGCCTCCCACGCGCAGTCATACTACAACTCTAGAGAGGGAAGTTTGTAGTAACATGCCTGCCATTTGTCACTGACACTTTGATGGGACGGGAACATAAAAGTTAACTACTGAAGTTGGCATGGTAGCGCATGTGGACCAAGATAATCATGTTGTTGTTCATGAGGATGATGTGTATCACTTAAAGACTTATCTTCATCTCCATTAACATGTTTTTGTAACATGAATGTGTGTTTGTGTGTGTGTGTGTGTGTGTGTGTGTGTGTGTGTGTGTGTGCGCGTACCTGTGAGGTGTGTGAGGCCCAGCTCCTCCAGTCCGTGTTGGCCGTCCTTCTGGTAGTTGACGAGGACAGCCAGAGCAAAGCGGTCCTCGTACAGAGTGGTGCCTCTGATGATACGGAGCTGGTCCAGTGGCAGCCGGCTGAACTGATTAATGGCTATGAGGATGTAGCCTGTCACTTCTCTGATAGACTACAGGGGAGGAGAAAGGTCAGGGAAGAGGGAAAGAGTAAACAAAAAGGTTTTACTCTAAAGAGCAGATGGAATGAGGATACAGTTATGTTCCTCCTTGTCGATCTTGGAGGGCTGCACAAAGCAAATTAGCCAGTGATGATTTTTCAGTTTAACATTTCTAGTGTTGATTCAGGAGTTAAATTCACTCTGTAAGAGTGAAATTAACACTCAGGGGTGTAAAAGAACCGCCAGTGTTGGTGTTAATAACCAGAGTTATTGTTTTACACTTTGGGGAGTAAAACAATTCCACCAAGACAACGCTCATCATTATAATATTTCCCAGCATGCTGTAGGTAGATTTTTTTGAATTGTTTTCAATCTGTAGTTTTGCATGTACATTGATTGATTGATTAATCTTATGCTACACAAATATAAATAACATACACTACAATGTAGAAAATAGTAAAAATAAAGAAAAACCCTTGAATGAGTAGGTGTTCTAAAAAACATTGACCGGTAGTGTAAATGTTTCTAAACTAATCCGATTTATTGCACCCGTTACTGAAATGGTTGTTCCAGTTGAAATGGTTTAGGTAGTCTTCTTATCAACTTTCCTAACCCTGACAGTCATTCTGAATGTATGTTGTGGGTGAATAAACATTCCAACTGTTGGATATCCTAACTCTAGCTGGATTCCAGTAGGAATAACACATTACTTTGCAAGCCAGCATAATGTGACTTGCAGGCCTGATGTGGCCTGTAAACCAGGACCGACTGTGTTAGAGTAAAACTAGGCCATCAGAGTAAGGCCTTATGATATATGTATGATATATGTATTGTATTGTCATAGAGTTTAATTTTAATGATAGCATTTGCCTAGGTACTCACTTGGTGAAAGCCAAAGGCCTATAAAAGGAAATAATTTAATAACCATGTCTCTGTTACTAACAAATACAGTCATGGGTGGTAACTCTACAATTCACTCAAAAAGAAACGGCACCCTGGGAAATATGTAAATTAGACTTTACACCATCCAGTGTTAAAACAGTATCCACAAATGATTTACTGTAACACTGCAGGTGTTCATTTCTTACACTGAGAAAGTGTAACAGAGTCAGCACTAAGCAAAGTGAGTCCAGTTTACACATAATCAAGTGTATGTTCATATGACTCATATGTTCACTGAAAATAGTGTACATTTAACACTTTTAGAGTTAAATGTACACCATTGATTTTGATGTGCAGTGTGAGCAGGCATTTGTCACCTGATTCAATTGAATCAACTATTCATCAAGACCTTGATTTTCTGAATCAGGTGTGTTAGAACTGGGCTGGGACAGAAACCTGCACACAAGTAGCCCTCCAGTACGAGGAGCGAAGGACATAGATGTAGTGGATAATGTACCTTAATTCAAGACTATTTACTGTAAATACTAAGATGCTACATTGACTTTGACTATAACATCACAACACAACAGCCCTCTTCTTCTCTCACTCATCAATAGTTACCATGAGAGCATAACATTAGCTAACTACAGTACCATGCCAGTTAAACTAGTTACGGGTAACTAACTGGTTTCCATGGCTATATGATAAGTTACCATGGCAGTGCCACAGTGCGGAGGTGACTAAGGTTTTGGAGGGGAATGTAAGGAGACTCATTTTGTACAGGAGACAGTGACATCATCCACAGGAGACGCACACTGATAAGAGCTCTGAGTAGTACTCTGTGCAGCAAAGGGAAGTCTGTGGCCTGACGTCTGATTGTGTGTTTAGTGTTGTCAGGGAAATAGGTTGGCACTATACAGTGGGGAGAACAAGTATTTGATACACTGCTGATTTTGCAGGTTTTCCTACTTACAAAGCATGTAGAGGTCTGTCATTTTTATCATAGGTACACTTCAACTGTGAGAGACGGAATCTAAAACAAAAATCCAGAAAATCACATTGTATGATTTTTAAGTAATTAATTTGCATTTTATTGCATGACATAAGTATTTGATACATCAGAAAAGCAGAACTTAATATTTGGTACAGAAACCTTTGTTTGCAATTACAGAGATCATACGTTTCCTGTAGGTCTTGACCAGGTTTGCACACACTGCAGCAGGGATTTTGGCCCACTCCTCCATACAGACCTTCTCCAGATCCTTCAGGTTTCGTGGCTGTCGCTGGGCAATACGGACTTTCAGCTCCCTCCAAAGATTTTCTATTGGGTTCAGGTCTGGAGACTGGCTAGGCCACTCCAGGACCTTGAGATGCTTCTTACGGAGCCACTCCTTAGTTGCCCTGGCTGTGTGTTTCGGGTCGTTATCATGCTGGAAGACCCAGCCACGACCCATCTTCAATGCTCTTACTGAGGGAAGGAGGTTGTTGGCCAAGATCTCACGATACATGGCCCCATCCATCCTCCCCTCAATACGGTGCAGTCGTCCTGTCCCCTTTGCAGAAAAGCATCCCCAAAGAATGATGTTTCCACCTCCATGCTTCACGGTTGGGATGGTGTTCTTGGGGTTGTACTCATCCTTCTTCTTCAAACAAACATGGCGAGTGGAGTTTAGACCAAAAACCTATATTTTTGTCTCATCAGACCACATGACCTTCTCCCATTCCTCCTCTGGATCATCCAGATGGTCATTGGCAAACTTCAGACGGGCCTGGACATGCGCTGGCTTGAGCAGGGGGACATTGCGTGCGCTGCAGGATTTTAATCCATGATGGCTTAGTGTGTTACTAATGGTTTTCTTTGAGACTGTGGTCCCAGCTCTCTTCAGGTCATTGACCAGGTCCTGCCGTGTAGTTCTGGGCTGATCCCTCACCTTCCTCATGATCATTGATGCCCCACGAGGTGAGATCTTGCATGGAGCTCCAGACCGAGGGTGATTGACCGTCATCTTGAACTTCTTCCATTTTCTAATAATTGCGCCAACAGTTGTTGCCTTCTCACCAAGCTGCTTGCCTATTGTCCTGTAGCCCATCCCAGCCTTGTGCAGGTCTACAATTGTATCCCTGATGTCCTTACACAGCTCTTGGCCATTGTGGAGAGGTTGGAGTCTGTTTGATTGAGTGTGTGGACAGGTGTCTTTTATACTGGTAATGAGTTCAAACAGGTGCAGTTAATACAGGTAATGAGTGGAGAACAGGAGGGCTTCTTAAAAGAAAAACGAACAGGTCTGTGAGAGCCGGAATTCTTACTGGTTGGTAGGTGATCAAATACTTATGTCATGCAATAAAATGCTAATTAATTACTTAAAAATCATACAATGTGATTTTCTGGATTTTTGTTTTAGATTCCATCTCTCACAGTTGAAGTGTACCTCTGATAAAAAGTACAGACCTCTACATGCTTTGTAAGTAGGAAAACCTGCAAAATCGGCAGTGTATCAAATACTTGTTCTCCCCACTGTATATAGACTTATATTGAACTGGAGTAGATTATACATACACTCCTAATGCAAGAAACACACACACACACATGCATGGACACACACACACCTGTTGCCATTCATCCACCTGTTCATCCCCTCACCTGTAGAAAGGTGAAGTCCCTCCAATGTTCCATCATGGTGATCTCTAGGTTGCCCATGACGATCTCACAGCCGCTGTACATCTCCTTCATCAGTGTGTACTGCGTTTGTGAACTTCCTGTCACGCTCAGTGCATTCTGGGTGCCGGAGCATATCACTAGAGGGAAAGAAAGGCAAAAGATAGTTCTTTAGTTTTAACGATTTCACTTCAAAACTCTAGCCTATGTTGTTGTTGTCAGTACTGATGCATTTTGTGTAGTTTTGATGTAACACATCAGCTCACAACATACATTCAAACTATGACTAATACATACTGTAATAATAACTGTTAGTCCTAGGAATAATGATGAATGTGTTTATGCTCATTTCTCATGCCCTTTAGCTTTGCATGCTAACGGCCAGAATGGATATATGTGATGATGTGAAATAGGCTGAGGCCAGTGCTACATTCAATACACTGACTGACTGTCTCTGGGGCAGACATACTGGGTCTTGTTTATTGTGGAATGTAGGAGTCCAGTCCTTTTCCCTTTTCAATGTCATTGGGACAGAGAGACTGTTTTGCTATTCAAATCTCAGCCAGATGTCCAAAGAGAGAGAGAGAGAAAGTGAAAGAGGGAAAGAGGAAGGAAGAGAGGCTAACTCTGGATAATAACATGTTTGTTTCTTTATTTCCAGTTGCTGTTCAATGAATATGTTTCCCTATATATCAATAGGTTATTTATTCACAGATAGATAGGTAGCTAAGAACAAGCTATACAGTGTTGGATTTGATGGAACGTTGAACTGCACACAGGCCTGCTTGTGACTACCCTAAAGAGATAGATATACCATGTTGTCTATCTGCTGTGTTCTTGTGCTCTCACAATGATCTGAAATACATGTTCAGCACTAAATCTGGAGACTCTGATGAGTCACACAGACATGAGCACCGAGCGTGTTAACATGTACTAGTTCATAAGATTCACACAGGGAATAACAAGCAGTAAAAGCTAGAAGGTGATTCTGGAGAGAGTAGCATATAGCGTGTGATAACAGTCCAATGAGCAGGCCCAGCCATCATTAAGCAGAGATAGCAGCTACTTTATTGTGTTTGTGAAGGAGAGAGAGAGGGAGAGAGAGGGTCACAGGTGCTAGTCTAGAGGAATTTGAACACACACACTTGGACATCAATCCCAGAGCACACTGACTCTCCCTGGGTAGAGGGTATACGGACATTCCTGAACACTGCACTCTTAGAAAAAATGGTTATTTGGTTGTCCCCATAGGAGAACCCTTTTTGGTTCCAGGTAGAACTCTTTTGGGTTCCATGTAGAACCCTCTGTGGAAAGGGTTTTACATGGAACCAAAAATGGTTATTCAAAGGGTTCTCCTATTGGGACAACTAAAGAACCGTTTTAGGTTCAAGATAGCACCTTTCTTTCTAAGAGTGTACCTAGCAGCATGCTACATTAGACCAGTGCTCTTCTATCCTGGTCTTTGACACCCACAAGGTTGCACATTTTGCTCTAGCCCAGCACTTGCATATGTGCAACCTGCCATTGTGAGGTTGTGTGAGTGTAATAAATGTGTAATAAACAAGGATCAGAAATTCTTATATAGCGAATCACCAGCTAGATTCAAGGTGTACAAGTTACAACACAAGAGTGTCAGTCAAGCAGGTGTACTGTAGGAATACTGTTCAGCTCAAATTGGCCATGGACTTTGTGCAGTGTAGACACATTTGGTCATTGGAATTGTAATTATCATTAGATTGTAATTATGTTCTTATGTGTACATTGCCCAATGTGAACCATCTTATCAAAACCCCACCTAGGTTAAGCACTGGGAGCAGCCTGAGCTGGGTCACTGCTATCAGTGGATGGCTTAAAGCTGTTGACACTCAACCAGTTCAATTGCCTGTTGACAAATAGTCCTGTGCACATGCACATGTACACCCAGGCAAACACAATCACGAAAGTGTACAATCATTACACAAACACTAATGTGTATGCAAGCACAATAATTGTACACAAAGAAATTAAGAATCCATGAATGCCAGGTCATCAGATGCTGCTCAGCCACGTTATCTACCTCCACAGTGTTCCTGCACACTGTTTCACATTGTTTGTATAGAATGGTACATTTTTATGTTCTATATTATATATTGTATTACCATGTCTTTTTTTTATCGACTATTGTGCTCTTGTTATTTTCTTACTGTTTGTATTACTTTTATTCATCTACTTTGTATATTGATAGTTTTGCTACTGTATATTGTATATTTAAGCAATAAGGCCCGAGGGGGTGTGGTATATGGCCAATATACCATGGCTAAGGGCTGTTCTTAGGAACGACACTACGCAGAGTGCCTGGATACAGCCCTAAGCAGTGGTATATTGGCCATATATCACAAACCCCCGAGGTGCTATTATAAACTGGTTACCAATGTAATTAGAGCAGTAAAAATACATGTTTTGTCATACCCGTGGTATTCCACGGCTGTCAGCCAATCATATTCAGGGCTCAAACCACTCAGTTTATAATGATAGTTTTGCTACTTTACATTTATTCTGCACTGTTGAGAAAGAGCTGCAAGTAAGCATTTCACTGTACCGTTACACCCGCTGTATTCTGTGCATGCGACAAATAAACTTTGATTTGATTTGAAAAAGAACACACATACTTACACAAAATGTTCCATCACAGAAATTAACATTAACACACACACACGCACACGCACACAGACAGACAGGCAGAGCAACATGCATGTACAAATATTGTTGCTGGAGAAGTGAATCTGAATGGGCTGAGTAGGTGGGTTTACCGAGTCAAAGAGGTACTTTCAGTATTTGCATAGAGAGAGGGCGGGGTAGAGGGATGGAAGAGTTCACAGAAAACTCTCTCTCTCTCTCTCACACACACACCCATATACACACACACACACACACACACACACAAGGTTCTTATAGTAAACGAAAACTGAAACGAAAACGAGAACTAATCATGAAAAAACTGAAATATAATAATTAACCTGTTTCAAAAACTAAAACTGTACTGAAACTATTATCTTTAACTCCCCCCCAAAATAAAAAAATAAATAATAATAACATCGTTAATTATGTTTCCGTTTGGGGGGGGGGGGGGGGCAAAAATCAAATGGGGTTATCAAGCTTTTCTAATAGGGTTTTCAAGCTTCTGAATCTGGCCGTTAAAATTGAGATCGACTTTCTAATTTAAAGGTAGACTCAGCGAGATGACATTGCCATGAGCAGCACCTCAGATATTGGGCATGTTTGAGTGGTAAGGCTAAAGCAACCGACTGTAGACGAAAGTCGAGGAGGAAAGTCGGGGGAGGTGCATCTGTGACAGCCGAAAGTCGGACACTAATGTGGTTTTCCAACAGCAAAGCTCAGATAGCATGGCAGTGTTGCCATTGTTTATAAAAGGCTCTCATTATAATGCTGAAATAAACACGTATAAGACACATATCACACACTCACAATCTAAAATCATAAAAAATATTGTGTGTCCTCTGTAGAATCAATTACTGATATCAAATGTATTTGTATACTGTGCATTCGGAAAGTATTCAGACCCCTTTACTTTTTCCACATTTTGTTACGTTACAGCCTTATTCTAAAATTGATTAAGTTGTTTTTTCCCCCCTCATCAATCTACAAACAATACCCCATAATGACAAAGCAAATTATTTTTTTTAGAAATTCTTGCAAATTTATTACAACTAAAAAACGGATTACATTTCCATAAGTATTCAGACCCTTTACTCAGTACTTTGTTGAAGCACATTTGGCAGTGATTACAGCCTTGAGTCTTCTTGGGTATGATGCTACAAGCTTGGCACACCTGTATTTGGAGAGTTTCTCCCATTCTTTGCTGCATATCCTCTCAACCTCTGTCAGTTTGGAAGGGTAGCGTTGCTGCACATCTATTTTCAGGTCTCTCCAGAGATGTTCGATCGGGGTCAAGTCCGGGCTCTGGCTGGGCCACTCAAGGACATTCAGAGACTTGTCCCGAAACCACTCCTGCATTGTCTTGGCTGTGGGCTTAGGGTCGTTGTCCTGTTAGAAGATGAACCTTCACCCCAGTCTGAGGTCCTGAGCGCTCTGGAGCAGGTTTTCATCAAGGATCTCGCTGTACTTTGTTATGTTCATCTTTCCCTCAATCCTGACTAGTCTCCCAGTCCTGCTGCTGAAAAACATCCCCACAGCATGATGCTGCAACCACCATGCTTCACCATAGGGATGGTGCCAGGTTTCCTCCAGACGTGACGCTTGGCATTCAGGACAAAGAGTTCAATCTTGGTTTCATCAGAACAGAGAATCTTGTTTCTCATAGTCTGAGAATCTTTAGTTGCCTTTTGGCAAAACTCCAAGCCGGCTGTCATGTGCCTTTTACTGAGGCTTCCGTCTGGCCACTCTACCATAAAGGCCTGATTGGTGTAGTGCTGCAGAGATGGTTGTCCTTCTGGAAAGTTCTCACATCTCCACAGAGGAACTCTGGAGCTCTGTCAGAGTGACCATCGGGTTCTTGGTCACCTCCCTGACCAAGGCCCTTCTCCCCCGATTGCTCAGTTTGGCCGGGTGACCAGCTCTAGGAAGAGTCTTGGTGGTTCCAAACTTCTTCCATTTAAGAATGATGGAGGCCTCTGTGTTCTTGGGGACCTTCAATGCTGCAGAAATGTTTTGGTACCCTTCCCCAGATCTGTGCCTCGACACAATCCTGTCTCGGAGCTCTACGGACAATTCCTTCGACCTCATGGCTTGGTTTTTGCTCTGACATGCACTGTCAACTGTGGGACCTTATATAGACAGGTGTGTGCCTTTCCAAATAATGTCCAATCAATTGAATTTACCACAGGTGGACTCCAATCAAGTTGTAGAAACATCTCAAGGATGATCAATGGAAACAGGAAGCACCTGAGCTCAATTTCGTGTCTCATAGCAAAGGGTCTGAATACTTATAGGTATTTCTGTTTAAACATTTTAATACGTTTGCAAAAATGTTTAAAAAGCAGTTTTCGCTTTTGTCATTATGGTGTATTGTGTATTGACACTTTTGGTAATGCAGTTTAACAGAAGTCTGGCTCAGAAAGATAATTCCCATAGATGGCCCCATGGAGAAGTACAATAAAAAAAATCAAAATAAGACACTTTAGC